GAGAATTGAACCACTGTCCTGGTAGTGACCTGTGGTAGATTACATTTTTTACTCCAATTCCTCAGCCTTCCTTGCATCCACATCCTTGCATACGTATGGCCTTACCCCACCACTTGACTTACTTTGGCCAGCTCCATGGAGTTTAGAAGTGCAGTATGCCAGTTCTAAGTCGAGCTTTCACAGGCCTTACATGGTTGCCCATGTCCTATGCTGCTCTCTTGCTCTCAGGAGACAAGCATGCCCAGGATACCTTGCAGGTTCTAGGAGGAGGATGATAGACACATGAAGCAGAACGACCCCTACTGAGCCTGCCTTGATGTGCTGACTGCTGACATTCCTGATCTGCTGACAAATGAGTGAAAACAAAAGATAATTGTTTTAGTTAGGCATAGTGGAGCATGTCTAATATATATATACATATGAATATGCATATGTATGTGTATTTAAAAATATATAGTTGTTGTTTTTGGCTACTGAGTTCAGGGATGTTTGTTATGTGTCAATAGTTAACCAAGTGTTCCAAGGTCTTAGGCTGCTTTTTCTAAAAAGCACTAATTCTTCACATAGGTCTGCAGATGCCCAGTGGGTAACTAAAAACAGAATAAAACTTGACATCTCTGCCTTTTTTTTTTTTTTGTACTGGGGATTAAACCTAGGGGTGCTCAACCAGTAAGCCACATCTCTAGCCCTTTTGATTTTTTAAAAAATTTTTTAAATATTTATTTTTTAGATTTTGGTGGACACAACATCTTTATTTTATTTTTATGTGGTGCCAAGGATCGAACCCAGCGCCCCGCACATGCCACGCGAGCGCGTTACCCCTTGAGCCACATCCCCAGCCTTGGTCAAACTGTGGTCTGGTTAATCATTCTCTCAGCTCCAATCACACAGTCTTGTGGGTCTCGTGGAAATTGCTGAAGCTTAGGGGTAAATCTCCACTTGCTTCTACAAGATGTTTATCAGACTTGGATTGGAGGAATTCAGTTACCATGAGTGGTGACCGAATCCCCTTTTGATTTTTTTTTTTTTTTTTTGAGACAGGATCTTGCTAAGTTGCTTAGGACCTTGTTAAATTGCTGAGGCTGGCTTTGAACTTGCAATCTTCCTGTCTCAGACCCCCAAGCCTCTGGGATTAAAGGTGTGCACGAAGTGTCCAACTTCTGCCTTCATTTTGTATCTGACTCCTTTATTACCTTAAAGTTTTGAGTCAGATTCCTGCTTGTTTCTGCACACAGTCATGCTAATACAAAGCTTACCAGCCCTAAATCTACCTAACCTATCTTGTCCCCCTTCAAGAATGAGGACACCAAGATAGAGTAATGAAGGTATTCTTGAGATTTGCAGGGACATTCAACTGCCAGCTTTTTACAGCATTCATTCCAGATGCCCTGGAGCAGTACCAAGAAGCCTCCAGTCATCACTGGGTACTTTCTAGGAACAGTGAAGCCTTGTAGGCAGACCACTCCATGATGAAACGGATCCCTCACCTACACCCCCTGCAGCAGAAGCAATCCACTCATGGTAACTGAATTCCTCCAATCCAAGTCTAATAAACATCCTGTAGAAGCAAGTGTGGATTTCCCCCTAGGCTTCAGCAATTGCCATGAGACCTACAAGACTGTGTGATTGGAGCTGAGAGAATGATTAACCAGACCACAGTTTGACCAAGACTGCTTAAATATGCATACCTCTCACCCACTTCTTCCTCTATTTAAACCTCATGTCAGTCCCTCCGAAGATGGGAACGAGCCACTTGATCTCAATTGTCTTCCCAATATGGCCATATTGATTAAAGTTGCTTTCCTGCTTTTCACCATTACTTTTTCTGTTTGGTTTTGGAGTGAGTGGCCAGACCTGATTTGTTGGGACCCCCAGAGTCAGGCCTCTGACCTAGTACTCTGGCAACACAATAGATTACCTAAACCAGAAATCTGGGCGTTACCTTTGATCCCTCCCTTTCCTACTTCACAGAGTCCTCAGAGCTTCCTAAGTATCTTCCAAATCCATTTAATTCTCTCCATCCTCAGCACTTGTGTTCCAGTTGGCCTCCTGTGATTATGTTCTAAGGATTTCTTCTTCTTTCTTGTTGCCCCCATTCTGCACATAGCATCCTGAGCAAACTTCCTAATGTGCACATCTGATCTAGGAATCCTATTATGTGCATCTACTTCACCCTTAGGTTGGAGTGTCAGGCAGTGACTAGATAAGAGAAGGCACCTTGCTGGGGAAGGTAGGCAACCCTGGTCACTTTGATACTGTAATGCCAAATTCGTGGGACTCCAATAGACCTCCAGGAGCAGAATCCAATGCAATCACACAAGAGTCTTTATTGCAAGCTCGAGCCTGGACTCACAACTGTTTCTGATGCAGCGGTCCCAAGGAATGAGCCCCAGGCCTTTGTTCAGTGAGATTTTATAGGTTTTGGGGATACTCTATGTGTCACTACATCACACAGCAAATCATTTCACACCTCGGAAAAGTCAAACAACAACTCTTAACATTGATTAGCACATTCACTGGCAGGAACAAGTTGGGTAGAGGAGATTGGTTAATACAAGAGGGGGATTCATTTTAACTGATTGGTTTAATCCGTGAGGGGAGTAGTGCTAAACTACATGGTTTCCCAACATGTTATCAACCACCAAAAAATACTGGGGGGTCATCTGACATCCCAGGTATTTTCCCTGTCTCATGCTGATTGGTAGTTACTAGGGGGTTGCTATGAGTCCTCACCTAGCCTAACTGAGTCAGGGACACCTGGTGCTGCAGATCTCTCCTGTTATTTGCAGACAAACAACTCAGCAAGGTGGGTATGTGCCTTGGAGTGCTCTGTGGGTTTTTCCAAGGACAAGGGTCACGCCCCCTTCCTTGGACAGGCTTTGCTCTGAAGTAGAGGCTGGTTTCTCAAAAATGGAGTCACATCAGTTTCTCAATACCACCCAATATCTACTTTGTCATTAATTTAGTGCAGGGGGTCTTAACCGGTCCTGGGTAGGGAGGTAGGTTCCGGCTCAGAGTATAAGCCAAGCTTAGGCTTATACTAAGAATGATAAGCAAAACACCAGCCTCAGGCTATGGGGATTCCAGCCAGAATGCTGAGGGTTTTCCAAACTTCTCACCTACTAGGTTGCCTTTTCATGGATCAACAGGGAGTACAACTTGAGAGGCACTGTGACAACTTGGAACAAAGATATCTGTCTTCCTTCCTTGATAAAGGATCAGATCAGCATTCTCCCTATTTTGGCAAACAAGCTCTATGACCTCATTTCCCCTAAGACTACAGTAAAAGGGCTGTTATCAAAAGAGGGGATGAGTCACCAGAAACCGGATAGGTGCCACAGTCCATAGAGAAAGGCACCCCTGAACAAGACAAGGTCTTTCTGTGAGGCAGCTGGGGAAAGCCAGGAGCCTTGGCATTTCAGAAACATTCATAGATTGCTGAGTCTTCCCACAAGGCTGCCTAGTGAATGGCTGCAGCATAATTACTTATTTAGTTGTCAAACGTGGATTCTAGAGGCAGGTTTCACAGCTTCAGGCCCAGATCCGCCATTGATCTTGGGATCTGGGCCAAGTCAATAAACTTGTCTATGCCTCAGTTTCTCATTCTGTATAAAATGAGGGTCATAATTTATTTGGAGTTCACATTGAATATGTGTTGGTAGATACCAGAATACCAATTATCTTGAGGGTTATTGATTGGGAAAGGTCATGAAGGTAACTTCTGGAATGCTGGACATTTTCTATGCCTTGATCTTGGTGCCGTTTATTTGGGTGTATACATATTTTATTTTTATCAATTGATTAATTGATTGCAGTGCTGTGGATCAAACCCAGGGATCTTGCACATAGGCAAGATCTACCACAGAGCTATATCCCCAGCCCTATTTTTAATTTAGTTTAATTTTTAAAAGACAGGTTCTCCCTTTGTTTTCCAGGTGGCCTTGAAATCCTGGACTCAGTGATCCTCCTGTTTCAACCTCTTGAGTTGTTGAGACTACAGGCATGTGCCACTGAATCTAGCTATAATAGATTTTTAAGAGTCAAGATTAGTGTACTTTATAACCTTTACTCTATTTTATACTTTAATTAAAAAGTTTTAAAAATGGAGTTAATGCCATACTCTGCTGGTGATACTGCAAATTGGTGCAGCCAATATGGAAAGCAGTGTGGAGATTTCTTGGAAAATTGGGAATGGAACCACCACTTGACCCAGCTATCCCTCTCCTCGGTCTATACCCAAAGGACTTAAAAACAGCATACTACAAGGACAAAGCCATATCATTATTTATAGCAGCACAATTCACAATAGCTAAATTGTGGAACCAACCTAGATGCCCTTTAGTAGATGAATGGATAAAAAAAAATGTGGCATATATATAAAATGGAGTATTACTCAGCAATAAAAGAGAATAAAATCATGGCATTTGCAGGTAAATAGATGGAGTTAGAGAATACAATGCTGAGTAAAGTTAGCCAATCCCAAAAAACCAAATGCTGATTTTTTTTTTTAATATAAGGAGGCTGATTCATAGTGGGATAGGGAAAGACAACATGGGAGGAATAGATGAACTCTACATAGGGCAGAGGGGTGGGAGAGAATGGGAGGCGGCATGGGGTTACTAATGATGGTGGGATGTGATGATCATTATTATCCAAAGTACAGGTATGAAGAGATGAATTGGTGTGAATAAACTTTGTATACAACTAGAGATATGAAAAATTGTGTTCTATATGTGTAGTAAGAATTGTAATGCATTCTGTTGTCATGTATAAATATAAAATAAATAAAATAAATTTAAATTTTTAAAAACTAAAAAAAAATGGAGTTAATGCTATCTAACTCCTAGCATCACTGTGAGAATGAAATGTGCTTAGCAGGTCACAACATTGCTCCTGACCAGTATCCAGTATTTGGCTATTGTCATAGCAAGTGGTGACCACTGGAGGGCCTGTGCCCCCAAAAAGCAGTGAACATCTTGGAGGTCAGGTACTTTGGTACCTTCCTGTTCCTTCAAGGAGGAGGATTCCATTTGGCTGCTAAGCAGTTCAAATTCAGCCAGTAAGAGAGACAGCGAACAGACCATTGCTCTGGAGGCCTGGGAAAGGTTTCAAACAGGTGGGTGTTTTGGAGGGCTTCTAGAAAGAAGTTGGTCCTTGGAACAAGAAGGTACTTTAGCTCTCTGAAGGCAGTGGGTCTGATTTTGGTTCTTGTTTCTCTTCACCATAGGCACACATTGGACCATCAATACCAGCTGGCAACAGGAATGAATGAGCCCCATCCGTGGTGGCATCATGAGCTCTGATTTTAAATAGAGAATGAGATGTGACACCATGGGGAAACACTCTGATGAGCTGAGTCTGGACAGAGCCTGTCAGGACACAGAGCTTCCAACTCCAGGACACTTTTCCTTGAGACCCCTGAGTCACCACCATAGTTGAATAGCTGCTCTAGTACCCAAGAGATAGCTCTGGAGGATTCTCAGAACCTGGGCCACCAGAGGGCCAGGCAGGGACAAATTAGGTTAAAGGTGAAACCACTGGGTCTGGAGTCCTCGGAGCAAGCGGGGCGCGTTAGGGCAGGCTGGTGTTGACAGTAGATGAGGATGGCATCCCAATGAATCTGGGAGGGAAGTGGGCTGCTCAGGTGGCCGGTCTATTGCACAGGTGCGAAGCCAGAGGCCCAGGCCGGACGCGGTCCCAGCTCTTGTCCCCCCGCAGGCGGCGCCAGAGCGAAAGCCCGCCTCGTGACTCCGGTCCACAGTCCCGCCGGGCGGGGCGAGGGGCGGGCCCGGGAGCTTGGGCGTTGGAGCGCGGTCACAGTCACGCCGCGGGACGGACTCACGGACGATCGCTCAGCTGGACCTTTCAGGGATATGGGGGAGCACGTCACTCGTAGCTGCTGCCTAGGCTGGGACTTCAGCACGCAGCAGGTACGGTCGCAGGACCCCACTGCCTGCGGGGCGGGGCCATCGCCTCCGCTACGCCGCGCGGGCTTGCTGGCACCGGGCCCTGGGATCCCTGGGCCGAGCAGCGGGTGCGCCGCACTTTGGAGCTTCCCGGGGCTCAAGCGCCCCTTCCTGGTGCGTGGCTGCAGGGCGATGCCCTGCCGGAGAGGTGCGTTCTAGACTCCAGCCTTTCCGGAAACGGCGGGCGCCCCCCGGCGGGACCCAACTGGCACGTAGCAGGGACGTGTCCAGAGAGGGGCGGTTCGCCTGCTGACCTGGGCACTGAGTAGGAGGGACTCGAAGACATTCAAATCAGTGAGGCAGAGAAGCCAACAGACTGGTAGACGTGCGTGCTACGTGTATAACCAGTGACCTGAAATGGATCACCCTTCCAACTGCCTACCCCCATTCTTTTTTGAAAAGGGCACAATGTAAAAATGGACTTTGTCCCTCCCTTTGGCTGCCCTTGGATGCACCAGTGTGCTTGGGTCTGTGGACCCAGGACTACTGGCCAGAGGAGGTCTGTGCTGCTTTCAGGTCCTGCAGACAGGCGAGCAGAATTAAAATGTGCCATCAAACTGAGCATGGGATGCCCATGGGACTCCTCTTTATAAGTACTGGGGGATAAATACAGTCAAACACCCACCCCCCACCCCACCCCCGTCTTTAGATGGGCCAAGGGAGCAGGCTTCAGATAGCTTTAAGGGGAATGTCCTGTGGGACTCCAGTTGCCTTGGGACTTCAGTTTCCCCATCTGTCCAGGAAAGGAACTAAATTCCCAAGCTTGGAAATATGCTTCATCGGGACATTAAATGTGTCTAGATCATGATCAAGGTTGTTGAGACTAGCCCATGGGCCTTGCCTGGTATCTCAGACCTCTGCAGACATGAGTGACACCTGCCCCTTTGCCTCCATTCCTTGCCAGGCACTGGAACCAGCTCATCTGTACTAGTTACCTTTAGAGGGTCTTGGCTTTTGGCTGTTTGGGGAGCCACGATTCAGGTTCTTCATTTTATTAAATCTTTGGATATGTCCCCAGATGAAGCCTTTGTTGCCATGGCTACCATGATATACCCTAGCCTCCCAGGGGGTGTTTAGGCTGAACCTTGCCTAGTGATGTTAGTAACTCCTGGGCCAGTATAGAAGCTGAGGAAAACTCTATGCTATTTTTTTTTTAATGTCTTCCAGGTGAAAGTTGTTGCTATTGATGCAGAGCTGAATGTCTTTTATGAGGACAGTGTGCATTTTGACAGAGACCTTCCAGAATTTGAGTATGTACCTGTGTGTGTGTGTGTGTGTGTGTGTGTGTGTGTGTGTGTGTGTTGGGGGCCGGTGGCTTTGGGTTTCTTCCAAAATTTACATTCATGAACCACAGTGTTATGGTTTTATAAAATTTTAGGAACGGTGCTTTTGACAGATCTCTGAGTTTTTTTTTTTTTTCTCTATACCTGGAATACTTTCTTCTCCATTTCTTCCCAATGCTATTCATCCATTTGCTCATTCATTCCTACAAGTCTTAAGTGTCATTTGAAATCTGCTTTGTAATAGACACTGTGCTGGTTGTATCAGTCCATGTTCTGTTGCTGATTTCATAATGCCACAGACTGAGTAAGTTATAAAGAAAAAAAAAGTTTATTTTGGCAGAAATCTAAGGGCTACATCTGGTAACATCCTTCTTGTTTTCAGAGTCCTGAGGTGGCACAGAATATCATGTGAGAGATAAAAAGTATGCCTGTGTATTTGTGTCTGAACTTTCTCCCTCTCTCTCTCTCTTTTTTTTTTTTTCCTTTTCGTGCTGAGGATCAAATTTAGGATCTTGTACATGCTAAGTACTTGAGGGAGTTACTTCCTCAGCTGTTGACATTGTCCCTGTTCTCAGCCTAAGCTTCTAGAGGCCTTGCACACTTCTGCTTTTATTCCCAGCTAGCAGCAGAGCCCTATAGCTACTGTTAGCTGACCACAGATGCACCAGTGAGTCCAGTTGAGCCCAGCCCAATGTCTGACCAACAGAATTGTAAGCTAAGTGAGCTTAGTGCTTTCAAGCCACTACATCCCTCTCTCCCTTTTTTGGCATCAAACTTGTAGTCCTCCTGTCTCCAGAAGACAGAGCTTGGATTATAGGCATGCATTACCACACCTGGCCTTGTGTGAATAGTTCTGTGGACTCATACTTTCCTTTCTCTTAGCTATTAGGGATAGAATGGTTAGATCACGAGATATCTAATAGATGGTGTGGATTATGAACCTATTTTAAAATATTAATTTATAGTTGTAAGTGTTGGATTTTATTAAACCAGCTCTTTGAAGAAAGGTCCTTTAGGGGTGAGATAAGGATGAAGATGAGGAGAAGGTTCCAGGAAACTTCCAGGGCTTCCAGTTCAAGGAATCCCTGGTAAGGATGCACAGTGGCACTCACCTGTAATCCCAGCTATTTGGGAGGCTGAGACAGGAGGATCCAAAGTTCAAGGAAAGCCTGAGCAGTTTAGCAAGACCTTGTCTCAAAAAATAAAAAAGGACTAGAGATGTAGCATAGCAGTAGAGCATCTTCAGGTTCAAACCCCAGTACTGTGCGTGCACACACATACCTACCCCTCCACCACTCCAGGGCTGCTGTGATAGGTGAAAACTTCCTGCAGATGTAGCATCTCTTTATAACAGCTGTCCCTGACTTCTCCAAACTCATGGGCTTTTAGTTCATCCCCACATTCTCCCAGTTCCTTTCTGGCCTCTGCACCATGCCTCCCCTGGTCAGACCCTCATGCCTAGAAGATCCTTTCTGAGAATTGCCACCTCTGGGCCACCTTGGGTGATTCCATGCCTTCTCTCTCCATCTTTCCCTCTCAGAGTTCCGCTTAAAGCTGGGGTGGGGGTTGTTCATCAGCCAGTTTCTAGCATCTGCCACCCTTCACTTCGGTCAGTCTGCCCTGAGGCTCCCCCAACATTCTCTCCTGTTCTCCCTGCAGGACTCAGGGTGGTGTTCATGTGCACAAAGACAGGCTGACAGTCACCTCTCCAGTCCTGATGTGGATCCAGGTAAGCACAGGCATCCTTTCCTTCTGTCCCTAGCCTGTCTCACTGACAGTCTTAGTGATTTACTAGGAAGCCCCAAGGTGGAAGCTCATGAGAGCATCTATTGAGACCAGGTCCTCATGGTTTAAGGGAGTCTGTTTGGTTCCTAGGGCAGGTTCAGCCTTAGCCTTTGTGAGAGGACTCACAAAGGACTTCCAGGTACCAGAGTCATACAGCTGCCAATTCTGCTAGTACCATATTTATTTGTTTGTTTTTGGTTTTGGTACTGGTGATGGAACCCAGGGCCTCATTCATGCTAGACAGGCACTCTATCCTGAGTTAAACCCACAGACTTTTTTCAAAATTTAATTTGAGACAGGGTCTCATTATTCCCAAGCCAGCCTGGAACTTGTGATTTTTTTTTTGCTTCAGCCTCCTGAGAAGCTGGAATAATAGGCTTGTGCCACCACTCTGAGCTCACCACTGCCATCTTTAAAATACCACAGAGAAAGCCTTTCAATATACTTGGAAGTATCAGTCAGGTGCTGTGGTCTGTCTTCTACCTTGAATTCCAAACAGCCCTTGGAATGTTATGCTTTTCTCCCTGGACCCTTCAGCTTCAGGGAGTGGGCATTCATACTAGTGACTTAGAGCCTGACCAGTCATGCTCAGATCAGCCTGCCTGCTTAGGACTAATAAGAAAGGAAGATGCCTGTGGCTGGATCTAGTGACCCATGGGGCTGTAGGACCGGGGATGTAGACAGCACAGATAGACATGATAGGGCTTGGACTGCCTCACGTCCCATGGGAGACCAGAGTCTCTGAAACTAGAGGCCAAACAGGCAGCATTTGGTGTATCTGCCAAAGGCTTTTTTGAGTTTTCCGATACTTGTTAACCAATTCCTGTATTAAATTCTTCCTGATAAAAGTTAACTAGTATAAGTTCTTTTTTTTATCAATCTGACCATGATTCATATACTGGAAGATTGGGTAAAGGATAGATTTTAACCTGATAGATTAGCTGGAATGTATTTCAGAGAGCTAAGCCAAGGTGGGGGTTCAGGGAGTTAGAGGCAAGATTTTCTGTTAAGAGGTCGCACAAATGACAGTAACAGCATTTGATATACAAAGGCCTTCTTTGGGAAGGCAAGCACAGGAGAAAGGATCCAGGCTTCGGTGGGGGGGTGGGGGCAGGGTGATTTCTGGAACTGTTCCTAATTTGTTAGACCCTGCCAAAGGTTTGACAAGCAGAGAGGCAGCTGGCAGCATAGTCAGGGCTGGAGGGAGCCCTCCCAGCATGATGCGGGGACAGCAGGATCAAGCAAAAGCTGGAGTGATTCCTCTGTCCTCAGGGAAGACACAGGCTGAGATGAATCTGTACTTCCTACCGTGAAATCTTAGGGGTAGTGTCAGGGTCTATTGGTCGTACCACTCACCCCACTCATGGTGTCTTGCTGGAAAGATAATTGCAACCAGATATTGGAGGGTGGAATGGGGACTTGTGACAAATGGCCACCATCTCTACCCACATCCTCAACTTTGGGCTCCTGGACACAAAGAGTCTGGGCCTGGAGCCCTCCTCTGATGGAGGAGCTCTCCCCCTGCTTTGCTTTTCACTTCTCTGTTAAGTCAGATCATTAATATAGTGGGTTAAAAAGAAACCTAAATTTGAGCTGATTTGTTTTTGCTTCTCCTGAGTGCTTGGAAGCCACAAATTGAAGAACAAACTTTAAAGGTTTGTGTTTTGTGATTCCATTTATTTCAAACATTTTTAGCATAGTTGACCTTTTTATTTGATTGATGCCTACTTGTTTAATTAACGTATTCTAGTGCTTACAGATCCTGTCTTTAGGACCTTCTTCCTCTGCCCAGAGCCCTTGCTGTAATGGCAAGCATTGCATTTCCATTTTGAGGCTGTGGCTTACCCGATTCAGTAGTTCAGTGTAGTCACGGTGGATTCTGTTCTTCTTCTCAGGCTCTGGACATCATCTTGGAGAAGATGAAGGCTTCGGGTTTTGACTTCTCTCAAGTCCTCGCCTTGTCTGGGGCAGGCCAGGTTTGTGTGCAATAGTCCTCTGAGGGTGGCTGTTGGAGACAATGGCCTGGGTGAGAAGGTGATGGCTCCTTTTGGGACACACATTTTGTTGTTAGTGAAAGTGCCTCCAGCTATTTTACCTTAGAGACTGTATGGACTTACTTTATCAAACAAGGATCTGGGACAGTTTTTATGATGAAGCAGCATGTAAAATAGGACAATTTGGTGAGCGAACCAAATAGAGGTCCTCTAAAGAGGATGGAACATTCAACATGAATTTATTATGACTATTTGGGGGCACTGAAATTGCTTTTCTGTTTCCTGGAAGTAAAAGCCAGATAAGAAACGATACTAATGATGGCAGTAATTTTAGTAGTAGGAGTCATAGTCATAATAGTATCAAAGAATGCTGACTGAACCTTTAGTATGGCCAGGGATTGCACTGAGGAGTTCATGTCCATTATCTTAGACCCTGTAGCAATTCTACGAGGGTACTGGTTATGTTGATCAGCGTAAGAGCTCTGGGCATGCCCAACTTTGTCGTTTACGAGCTGTGACCTGGGGAATGTCACAGGCCTTCTAAGTGCCTCCAGATTCTCATCTGTCATAGAGTTATGTGAGCATTATTTTATAGAGAAAACTAGGACATAATAAACCTTATTTAATGTTATCTATGGTTTTTATTATTATTGACATTTACCTAAGGACATTGAAGCACATAGAAATGATGTCACCTGCCCAAGCTCATGTAGCTGCTAGAAAGAGAAGTCAGTACCACACCACCTCCAGTCTCATCCTCTAGTCCCTATGCTGTGCTGGAGTCCCTTCACTTCTCACTGGGTCACTAGGATTTTACCTTCTCACTAGATGGACTTCTAAAGAGGCCTTTTGCCTTACCCCTGACCTAATAGGAATTTATTGTTCTTATTCTCATTAAACTAAAAGGATTACTCGGTAATCCATTTCCTCTCACCTGAACCCCAGGCCTGGACACCTGTTGCCTTCCTAGACATCTGTTTTAGTCAACTTTTTTATCAGTGTAATTAAAAGACCTGACAAGAACAACATAGAGAAGGGAAAGTTTATTTGGGGCTCACGGTTCCAGGGGTCTCAGTCCCCTAGCTCTGGGCCCAAGGTGATGCAGAATATCATGGCGGAAGAGCATGGCAGAAGAAAGCAGTTCAGGACATGGCAGGCAGGAAGCAGAGAGCTCTGCCCTCCAGGGACAAAATATAAACCCTCAGTGACCTGCCTCCTCCAGCCACAGCCTGCCTACCTATAGTTACTGCCCAGTTAACCCCTATCTGTGGATTAAGTCACGGATTAGGTCCCACTGCTCATAATCATTTCACCTCTGGAAATTCTTGCATTGTCTCTAAACCATAATGTCTCCAGTCCCCATGACTAGGTACCCTACAAGTGCCTCAAATAGAATGTCCTAGATGAGTACTCTGTCTTCACCCCATACTTCCTTCTCTTCAGATTCCCTTTCTCAGGGCATTCTCATTGTCCTCTTGTACTCCTTGTCCACGAGTACAAGCCATGTGTCATCCTTACTACTCCATCTTCCCACTCCACATCCAAGTTGTTAGAAACTCTTGAATCTACCATGTCTCTGCCAGCACCATCTCTGTTGTCCCAGGCCAGGTATCCGTTACTTCCCTCTAGGCCTCTGCTGTAGCTTCTCTGCCTCCCTCCTACTTTTCCCTGACTCCCATGAGCCCTTTTATACGCTCAGCCCTGGCCACAGCACTCCCCTCTAGACCCATGGCTCCTACCACCTTCAAGATGATCCCAATCTCCTGAGCCTGGTTTTCAAGATCCTGGGTGCTCAGGCTGCCTCCTCTCCCTCCATCCCATTGCCTAGGTCCTGCTCTAGCAAAAGTCCCATTGCTTAGAATGCCACCCTTCACCAGACCTGCCAGGCTGGCTCTCACCTGTGGATGCTTTCTCTGTGGAGCACCCATACACCTAACTCTGTCCTAACACTCAGCACCCACTTGACTTATCTATACTCCAACCTGGTTAGGTTCTGTATGTTCTCACAGCCCTGTTCTGCAACTCCACAGGGTTTTGTGATTATAGATTTGTATCTTTTCCCCTGACTTAACTCCAATATCCTGAGAAATACAGTCAATAATATCCTTTTCATCTGTCCTATGTCTGGTGTGATCTAGGGTCTCAATTGATTGAATGAATAGGACGAGTGAATTTTAGGTAATGTTGCAATCAGTATATTTAAATACAGTTTTACAACAGGCACCAAGATACAGAAAAGTAATTCTTTCTTGGAACTTTCCTATAAGTTTTGGTGTGACAGGGCAGAGTTCTTTCCATTTTATTGAAATGAAAACCAAATCTCATAAAGGTGATGAGCTCTTTAACTAGGATTTTGCAGAGACAGGCTTGGAGCCCAGTTCTTTGGTGTGTGGTCTGGGACTTTCTGTGTCTCCAGGAGGCTGTGATACCAGTGGGTGGTCACATGAGCATGTGCTTGGGTTTCCCTTCAACAGCAACATGGAAGCATATACTGGAAGACTGGGGCCAGCTTGGCACTGACGGCACTGTCACCAGACCTCCCATTGCATCAGCAGCTGAAGGTAACTGTGACCATGTCTGTGAGTCTGAGAAACTTCAACAGAGAGGGCAGAAGGGCCCCAACTCCTGTGGGCCTGGAAGTCTGGGGCTTTATGCATTGTTGAGAGTATAAGGAGTTGGCTTCAGCAGTAGTTCTGTGGGTGGTCTGTCCTGCCTCCCCAGGTGGAGTTTCCCCACTGTCTGGGCAGGGGGTCAGGTGTTAATGACCTGCATCACATAAGTCCCTTCCTCCCAAAATGACTTTGGCATCCTTTGCATGCCTCTGGAGAGTCTCCCCTTGGTGCATGCTGTGAAGTCAGGGGCTCTGCCTTCCCCCTTTTTCCTGAGTTCCAGAAGTCCCTGAAAAACCTGCACCTGACTAGAGCTGCAGCTCTTTTCTGGTAGTCTCTAGTGTTGTCTGCTGTGCTCAGGTGCCCTCCCTGGAAGAGCCTCTGCCTTTAGGCCTTCAGGGAGAGACCCCCCCCCCTGGGCCAGGCCAAAGGGTTGCCATTGATGGGTCTCCCAAAGGCACATCCTGGGAAGAAGTGCTATACCTGCTCTTTGAGTCTACCGTGGAGCTCAAGTCTGCACCTTTGTACTTCCTTCCAGACTTGCTTCTCCATCAGCGACTGCCCAGTGTGGATGGACTCCAGCACCACAGCCCAGTGCCGCCAGCTGGAGGCTGCCATGGGTGGGGCCCAGTCTCTCAGCTGCCTCACAGGGTCCCGCGCCTATGAGGTAGGCAGCACCCACAATGGGCTGGGGAGTAGGGCAGATCTTTTCTCTAAAAATGGGTGTCTAGGAGGGTGGAGTGGGCACCGAATCTCTGTGGGAGTCATGTGAAGTGTTGCTGGTGCTACCCAAGGGAGCCAGAATGGGACATGGTGTCCCGGCCTCCTGATCCAGGTTATCCTGCTTCCCTGGGCACGTACCAGGCCAGGGCAGCCTCTTCCCATGAGTTCCCAGGTCAGGCTGGGATGTGAACCGAGCTAATCTACTCACATCAAGCTACTACTGTACATGGGTATGATCACGGCAACCTCAGTCTCATTCTCTGAAACTTGGACACAATAGCACTTCCATCATTGGTATTGTTTATGGTTTTTTTTTTTTTTTGGTGGTAGATGGACTCAATATCTTTATTTTGTTTATTTATTTTTATGTGGTGCTGGGGATTAAACCCAGTGCCTCACTCACGCTAGGCAAATGCTCTACCACTGAGCTACAACCTGAGTGCACCACTGTAGGTATTTTTGTAGCTGAAAGTAGTCAGAGAATATAAGACCGGGCAGTGCCTGGCTGACTTCAGCCCCAGCCCCAGGGATCATGTGATTGGCCTCCATGGATCATGTGACCTCACTGGAATCGAGGTTTAGGGGATCAATCCATCTTAGGCCACCTGAAACAAGAGGAAGTCGGATGGAGAGAATATTTGCATAAAAGTGCCTCAGTTCATGAAGGCTTGTCCAGTCCCGACAAGTGAGAGGCCCTCCCAGAAGGCCCAGAAGTTACTTCTGTGTCCTTTGGGTACAGGGGGATTGTTTATTGCCAGAGTATTTGATTACCTAGAACATTTAAGGATCCAAAGGCTAAAATACACAGTGTGATTGTACAGCAGAAACTAAGCATTTCCAGATTAGGGGCCTTTTAAAAGTTTTTATTTTACCACCAAATATTCAGTGCATGCTGTGTTAAACTCTCTTTATGGAGTTATTTATTCTGTGTAGGATTTTGATTTCTAAGAATTTGCACTCTTTTTTCAGCGTTTTACAGGAAACCAGATTGCAAAGATATACCAGAAGAACCCTGAGGCCTACTCACGCACAGAGGTTGGTTCAATGTTCATGTTTGATTGAAAGTCACAGATACTCAGAAGGCTGAGGCAGGAGGGTGGCAAACTTGAGGCCAGCCTAGGCAACTTAGCAAGACTCTGTCTCAAAGTAAAAAATAAATAGGGCTGGGGATGTAGTTCAGTGGTGGAGTGCTTGCATAGCATGTGCAAGGCCCTGGGTTCATTCCCTAGTACTGTGGGGGAAAAAAAAAAAAAGATTACTGTGAGCTGAACACCTCCTATTGTCTAGTGACATTAGAGCTGTCTTAACTTTGCAGAGCATTCTCATGTGTTTGTGACAATGATGCTGTAAATAAAACTGCTATGCTTCTAGTCTCTTAAAAGTGTTTTTATTTTTTTATTTTTATTTTTTGAGTTTCTGGTATTGGTTATTCTGAAGATACCAAAACTATGCGTATATAAGAACATAAAGGCAAAAAAAAAATATTTGTACCTTTTCTACGTTAAGATATGTTTAGAAGTCAGATGTGGTAGCGATCTCAACTTAGGAGGATTGCCAGCCTCAACAACTTAGTGAGGCCCTGAGCAACTTAATAAGACCCTGTCAAAAGGGCTGGGATATGGCTCAGTGATAAAGTGCCTCTAGGTCCAATCCCCAGTACCCAAAAAAGAAGATGCATTTAGATACACAAATATTTACCATTGTGTTACTATTGCCTACAGTATTCAGTATGGTGACATGCTGTATAGATTTGTAGCCTAGAAGCAAGCAGTAGGCTCCACCATCTATCCTGGGTATGTAGTATGCTTGGTTTGTGTAAATATCCTGCATGGTGTTCGCACAATGATAAAATTGCCTAATGACGTATTTCTTAAACCATATCCCTGTTATTAAGCAGTGCATGACTGTATTCAACTTGCTTTTTTCCCTCATTGTCAGGCTGTTGCCAAAAACAATAGCCTTGTGAGAAAGAGAAATCAGGGGCTTTCATGACCAGCAGGAGTCCGGGGCAGGGGCAGGGAAGAAGTGGTGGGAATTTGGGTCTTTCTGAGACCACCTGAGAGGGAGATCTGGGTGTCTTGGGGCTCTCTGTCCATTCACTTTCCTGTATGGTTGATGCAGGATGGCATGGCTGCTGGGCACTTGATTGGCATGGGTCAGGGTCTTCTCTGTAGACAGGTGGGACTGGAGCTTTGTGTCTCCAGCTGTGGTCCTTCAACCTGGATCACAGGAACCCAGATTCTTCCTGGCAGCCCAGTTGCCAAAAGCCAGCACTTAATGCTACCCAAGAAGCAGCTCCACACCCTGGCTGTTGATTTTTTTCCTTGTAATAAGAAGATGACCATCTCACAATAAACTCAAAGTACCCTTTTAATCTTGGAAATTCACACGCAGTTTATTATTTAATGATTTGAAGGTCCAGATGACTCTGTTGCATTAGCCATGGGGGATTGCCTCTCCAAGCTCTGTGTGTGGAATAAAGGTGGCCTGATGGGGGGCAGGAGGTGGCAGCACTCTGTCCACTAGTCCTGGAGCCCACGATGCTCATGTGGATTCTCAGACCCTCAGGCTGACATTTTAAGTTCTGTCTGTGATTCCATCTGTCACATGATTTTAAGGTCTGGATTCTTAGGGACCCAGCTTTTATTTAAATATATCCCAAACCCCCAGGAGTGTCTTGGTTCATTCTGAGTCCTGTGGTCGCATCCCGTGGATTCTATATGGAAAATCAGCTTCTCCATGCCCAGATTTTTCACGGGCTTTTGGTTTGTTTTTTCATTGATCTTGACAGTTCCATGGCCTGTCAGAAATTGCAGACAGTGAGTGCTCTCCCCAGGAGTCAGTTCTTGGAATTCCAGCTGCTCTTATCTGGGATACTCAGTCTCCACTGTTTGCTTGGATTCTGCTCAAAGTTTCCACTTCCCTCCCCAATTTAAAACTCTCTTCCCGTTGTGTCAGAAGTATTCAGTAACTTAAGGTATGTGGAAGCGAGTAACCTTTGACCGTTTCTTTTTCAGAGAATTTCTTTGGTCAGTAGCTTTGCTGCTTCCCTATTCCTTGGTTCTTACTCCCCCATTGACTACAGTGATGGTAAGCCTTTGGAGTGCTGACTGGGTGCTTGTTCCAAATGCATGTGGGCACATGGGTATGCAGGCAGTAAGAGCCCCATCCACCCTGGGTGGATGCTAATCTTGCAGGTCTCATCACTGGGCAAGAAGGGAGTGTATTAGTTTTCTTTGCTGTGTAACAAAGGACCCTGACACTTAGTAGCTGAAGACCGTAAGTGTTTATTTTTTCACATGGTGCCTGAGGGCCAGGAATGTGGAAGTGGCTTAGCTGGATGGTTCTGGCTCAGGATCTCTCTCAAGGTGTCAGGCAAACTGGCAGCCAGGGAGGTAGTCATTTGAAAGTTTAACTACAGGATTGAGCCTTCCAGGATCCTGCACAGGACTGTTGACAGGGGGCCATAGTTCCTCACAATGTGTCTCCTCTGTAGGACTATTAGTGACATTAGAGAGGAAGAGAAAGAAAAGAAGCAAGAGAGGAGGTCAAGCAGAAGCTGCATAGTCTTTTACTTGGAAATTTTGGAAGCAACCAGCCATTGCTTTTGCCTCATTCTGCTGTTCACACTGACCTATCCCAGTAGAATGAGGTGCCCCCTCAAAGCCAGCAAAAAGCAAGGTACCGAGCAACTCAGTGAGACCCTGTCTCTAAATAAAATACAAAATAGGGCTGGGGATGTGGATCAGTGGTTGAGTGCCCCTGAGTTCAATCCCCAGTACCAAAATAAAATTAAATTAAATTTAAAAAGTCCATGAACTTGGGAAATCCATGTGGGCAGATCCTTATCAGCTCTGAGGCTGCCTTTGAGGGGGCAACTTGAAACCCAAGAAATAGGGCTGAGGTTGTGGCTCAGTGGTAGAGTACTCGCCTAGCATGTTCGAGTCCCTGGGTTCAATCCTCAGCACCACATAAAATCAATCAATCAATAAAATATAGATGATATTGTGTCCAACCAAAAAATAAATATTAAAAAAAAAAAAGAAACCCAAGTAATATGTGGAGCAACAGATTTGCAGGCTGCCTGTGGTGTTTGATCTGTGAGGACATTTGCAGAAAGGGATGCTCCATGTGCTCCAGGGATCCTGCTGTCCTCTGGTTCTCTGGTTCAAGAACAGTGTGGTATGTTGCAGACGTTCTATGAATTAAGAGGCCCAGGCACCAGCTGGCTGTGAGATAATTATCTACTTTTTGCCAATTTTCACCAAAGGTTTTTTTCTCACAGGTTTCTATTTTGTTGTTGTTGTTGTTGTTGTTTGTTTGTTTGTTTGTGTGTCTGTTTCCTTCCTTTTTCAGGTTCTGGAATGAATCTGTTACAGATCCAAGACAAAGTCTGGTCCCAGACTTGCCTAGGTGCCTGTGCCCCTCATTTAGAGGAGAAGCTCGGCCTACCAGTACCATCATGCTCAGTGGTGGTAGGTGCCCCCTTTCTAACCTCCGTTAAACTGCATTTTCTGCCATGATGATTCCCGTGTGTGTTCTTTTTCTTTAGCTCTACAGTGTTACCATTAATAGCAGACCACCAGCGATTCCTTCTCAGGTTCTTTTCTCACAAACTTGGAAGAATGAAATTCAGGACAAAGGAGAGGGGACAAGGGGACAGCTCTCGCTGAGTGAGAGAGATCCTAATAGAGGATTGCCACCAAAGTGTACCAGTCTAGGGTTTATATAACTGCTGGGTAGGGATGTTGCTCAGATGTTTATGCTAATCAGGTACCCAAAGAATGCCAAACCTATTGGTCCTTTTATGACAATTAGGTATCTGGAAGGTGACTTCATGGGTCAGACCTGTGACATTCCCATGATTTGTTCCCTCTTAACCCTTGAGTTTGAAATTATCTGCAGTTTCCAGAGCTGTCCCACCTTCCCTTTTCCTACTTCTCTTGAGTCAAAGGATTTGGGGGTGATTATAAGGCTTGGAATGTTTTGACAGAGACATCTATTTATATGCAGTAGTGCGCACTTTGCATTTACTTAGAGAAATCTTTTTGGGGCCTGTGGCTATAACTGTCTGCTTGTAGCTTACTATCTGACTAACCTACCTATCCATCGGGGCTCCTGAAAGAGCTGGCAGCTACAGGGAAGCACTGACATCTGTGCAGGCACACTCATTCATCATTTTACTCACAGGCGTGGACACATGGGGCTTTCAGTTTAGTCTAAGACAAGAATTTGATGTACTTCAAAGTAAAGTATCTGGATCAGCACCTTGCACATAGCAGGACTCAGGGGCATGTATAGATTGCTGGCTCATAGCAGGGGTGAGTTTCTGGGTGATTGCATACCTGAGGAAAAAAAATGCAGACTGCTGGAATTCTAGGACTAGGGACTACTACTGAGGCTTGAAGCAGGCAGGCTTGGGGGAAATAGAAATGCCAGGGAACCCGGATGTGCATAGACTGCTTGGACTGAGTTCTAGATCTACCACGAACTGCTTCTGTTTAATCTGTGCCTTAGTTTGCTCATCTGGAACAATGGGAAGAATACTGTTTTTCTTGTGGAGCTACTGTGAAAATTAAATGAATTATGATATATTTAAAGTGCTCAAGATGGCGCTTGGTAACATGGATAAAAAAAGACTTGATCATCAGTGTGGTACCACCCAGTTGAACATCTTGGTGGGCCCTGGTTGGCTGGCCCTGTTCTTGGCTGTCCTGAGGGGATAATGGAGTAGAAAAAGTCCTGGGTGGTGCCCTTGGGTCCTGTGATGGGGTGCACATGCCACATGGCCAGAATAAGCAGGAAGAACTCCATGTGAGTGTGTTGGATGTGAAGTGGCCCTGAAGCCTGCAGAGAATCATGGAGCTTCGAGGGACAGACCACCAGGAAGATGGAGTTTGGGGAAGTACTCTCCACTGGGACTTTCAACCACAGAAGCACTCTTTTTTGGAGGATTCTCACTGACATGATGAAAATCACCTTGACCATTTTGGGGCAGAATGTCACAGCCAAACCCCTATAACACAAAGTGTGCCATGGAGGCCAGTGCACAGGACTGAAGGAAGAACCAGCTCGCCCCAGAGGAGCCAATGGTGCGAGACCCAGCTAGATAGGTCATGTACGTCAGAAGGACAAAGCAGCCTCATCCCCGGGGTTGGCATCCATCCCATGCATGGCTTTTAGTTTAAGGTGAAATTGAGAGCCACGTTTTGTCCAGGGAAACAGACTTTGATTGCTCTGTACCAGGAATGAGTGACCCCAAGAAGGAGCCTGTAGAGAGATAAGCAGGGAGAACTGATTCTGAAAAGATGCATTTTCATTTGTCACATATCACACAATGGGGGAAGCCATTGTGGCTTCATACAGGTGTCCCCTGCTGCCCCCTGCCTGATCTTGTAAGGGTCCGGCGGAGCGTCGGACAAAGAGACCACACAAGAGACTGGCTCCATGCAATTGGCAAAAAGGGATTTATTGGGGATCCATTCCAGCGCGCTGGGGCTCCGTGCTCACTCAAGAAGGGAGAGCAGCCCAGAGCCCAGAGCAGAGGTCAAGCAGAGCTTAAGTACACTTTCTGGAGAGGGCGGTGGGCTTTGCATACATCAGAACAAATCATCATGATGCGAGGGAAAATTGAACAACAACTCTGAGACGTGATTAGCACATTCATTGGCGGGAACAGGTCTGGCGGGGGTGATTGGTCATTCCTAAGCGGGTTACACATTCAAACTGATTGGTTCAGGCCCTGTGACAAACTGCACAGGGCCCTAGGCTAAATGGCCAGTAGGGCGTTGTTTTAACTACCTCAGGAATTTCAGGTTCTGGGTGTAGCAGAGGAACTTAATAATATCTAATCTTTTACATTCAAGCTTTCCAGCTTAGAAACTTTACCCTTTCATTCTGTATCTCCTCACTTTCCATTCTGGGGCTTCTCTGATTGTTTTTGTGTTCTGGGAACTTGGAGGTGCAAGATGTTAACACCCCACAGGACCCCTGTCATCAGTGAGGTGAGGGAGCCTATGGGTGGGTAACTGCTCCTCCCTCTCTGTCCCCAGGAGGCCATTTCCTCTGTCCATTTCCAGCTCTCGGAGGTTCCTCTGTGGCCTGAGCCTCAGTTGCCCACAGTGATGATCTTTGGGCCAACTTGCCCTCCTTCCCTGTTTGTCTTTCCTACTCCCTGCCTCCTGAGATCACATCCCCAAACAAACCACCTGCATGCAACCCTGTCTCAGGCTCTGGTTTTGGAGGCAGTCTAAATAGAGATGTCAGATTTCCCAGGTTGTTCTGATGGGCATCTAAAATTTTCCTGGCTGGAGCAAAATTTTCTTCCCAGACACCAGGAAATCTTCATTTATTTTAAACTTTTGAAACTACAATATAGTCAAAGAATGGAGATCATGTTCTGTATTTTATAACTGCTTTCTCAAGCATATACGTCTGTTGGGGGTTATCCTATGCTCTTGTCCCACAGTGTCTTGTGGTTCCTGGATGGTCCCCTCCCCCACCACTGCCATTTTTTTGGTTTATTTTCTTTAGAACATTGTTCTCTGCCCTAGCACATCTGATTATTGTTAATCCAGTGGCTGGGATCATAAGTAAGTGTGTAAGGTACTATCAACTTCCACGAGTTTTTTTTTTTTTTTTCTTTTAAACTGGTGCTGTGTTGCTTTTTTTTGTATGCTGTATCCAAACTTTGGAGCTTACAAAGCAGCTACAAGTTGGGGATTGTTTTGTTCTAACTTCCCTGAATCTCAAAATCCAATAAATGTTCTTCTGCGGGTCCTGATGCTTGTGATTTCAAACCTGCATTGGGCTCCTCCAGCGATTTGTGAATAGGAAGGACATGCCTGGTTTGTGACAGGGAGTGATACACCCCCAGGCTTTGCAGAAGATTCCTTCAGCTCCAGTGACCCAGAGCCCCAGAACATTCTCATGGCCTGAGGTGTGGACAGCTGTGCTGAGTAGGCGGGATTTATCTCAACAGAGCATACATGCTTTTTCTCCTCAGGGAGCCATTTCTTCCTACTATGTCCAGCGCTATGGATTTCCTCCAGGATGCAAAGTAGTGGCCTTCACTGGTGATAATCCAGGTGAGTGCTTTGGAGGATTTCCCTCTCCAACTGGACCTATAGGGTCTGTGCTAGACTTCTGGGAATTCCAGTCCAGTCTCTTGGTAAAAGCCCTTCTGCGCTGTCCCTTTTGATTTTCAAAATCTGCCTCCTTGTCCCTGCCCCAGCTGGGTCCTGACTACCCTCAAGAACTGCTTTGCCAGTCCGTCTACTCCCTCCAGGTGAGGGGTGACGAAAGAAGGTCATTGTGCCCACCTCACCCCCGGCCTCTTTTCATTCCAAGCTAATGCCTCAGCTCCCCCTTCCCCTCCTGTAGGACCAGGTTTTGAGTCTCTGCCGGGTCATTTGATCTATAAATGCATACTTTGTCTTCTTCCATGGCCTCTCTGCTTTAACTCATAGGGGCTTCTGAGGTTCCTGGATAAAGACCATGTGAGCCACACTGAGTAGCACCCTGACCACTGGCCCTCAGCCCCACCCTAGGTAAAGCAGCTCCTTCCTGAAGTGCCACCAAATACCAAATTAGGGTTAAGATTGTGATGCCTCTCCTTCCAGTTTCTTCCTATGCTCATAAATAAGCATTGGTGTGTTTTTTTGTTTGTTTGGGGTTTTTTTTTGTTTTTTCTCATCAACCTGGGCAACCTCATTTTCCTGGTGGTCCAAGGTTCAGCTGTCCCAGAATTTATTTCATCGATCCCTTGTGGATGGAGGTTGGTGTTCTTCCAGTGCTTAGGCCGTGCAGACAGCCTGAGATGCACGATCTGCCCTGTCCCTTTGTCACTACAGGGTCAGTTCTCAGAGGTGGTATTCCTGGGTCCAAGGCTTCTGGCAGCCACTGCCGACTGCATCTTGCTGCCAGAGCTTGAGTGTGCCTGTTCTTCCCCCCACTTCTTGCTCAGTTGTTTGTCCCTTCACTGAGCATTTAGTGAGCACCTGCTTATAGACCAGGTCTTCTTTTCGTACTGGGGTACACCAGCAAACATGCAGATAAGGATTGCTATTGTGGTCCTCCCATCTAAGGTGGGGACAATCTGCACAACCTTGGTCCCTTCCTGCCCACACTCTGCCTTGCTTTCATCTTTCTCTGCCATGTGTATTCTTTTGTGTCTCGTCCTGGCCCCTTTGGTTCTCAGCACTCCTTAGAGTGCCTGACAGTGGTGTGGAGTTTGAACCCCTTTAGGGAAGAGACTTCCTAGCCCAGATCAGAGTTCATGACCACAGAGACTCTACCCTTTGACCCCTGCAACCTTCTCTTGGGCCTTTGAGCCATCAGCTTGGCCCTGCTCCTGTGTCGGACTGGGAGATAGATAGGGGTCTGTGCTGTTGTTTGGGGGGCACTGTGGTTTGCTTCGTGGTTCCTGTGTGGCCTCCAGCTAACCAGAGGCTCCCCTCCCATTCTCAGCATCACTGGCAGGCATGAGGCTGGAGGAAGGTGACATTGCGGTAAGGTGACTTCTCATATCCACAGGCTCTTTCTGCCCTGGGGACCAGGGTGCTGGGTCTTAGCATCTTTACTCTCTATTAGAGGGTCTTCTGTTCCCTAAAGGGTATGGGGGGACCTACATCTCCTTCCTTAGAAGGTCATCACTCTTTACTGAGTAGACAAAACTGTAACCAGTCTAGAGGGCAAAGTGGCCAAGGGTCAGACATGAGGGCTGGGAGCTCCCCAGGTGGAGAGGAGGACGTAACTCATGCCTTCCTGCATCTAGCAGAGAAGTCATTTGGGAAAAGTCACCACCTACACCATTATTTTGATGCAGTTATGGTAAGTTCTAGAAAGTTAGTAAGGGAGGTCCATAAGAGCCTGGATCCGGGGAGCTGACATTTGACTCGACTGGTGTGAGAGGGTCAGACGAGGTGTCTGAGGAAGGAGCATTTCATCTCAATTGAGTCCTGCAATACGAGGAGCGAAGCGATGCAGTCAAGATGGGAGAAGTGCAAAGTACATCTCTGGCAGAAAAGAAGCATTTGCAAGCAAAGCCCCAAGCCCCTCACCTCTGCCCTTCTTGCCCCAGGTCAGTCTGGGCACCAGCGACACCCTATTTCTCTGGCTCCAGGAGCCCACACCTGCCCTAGAAGGCCACATCTTCTGCAACCCAGTTGACCCTCAGCACTACATGGCACTCTTGTGGTAAGCCTGGGTGTGGGTGGTGACCATTCCCTGGGGTGGGGCCAAGGAGGGATGGGCAGATCTGGCACATCTTGGGCACCTCAAGTCATTCCACTAAGCAGGCTCAGATGGGCAACTGAGACCCCCGGGACCTATCTGCTCTTGCCAACATCTGAGTTGGGTGGGGAAGAGCCTAAGACCTGGGGGTCCTCCAAACCTAAGTTCAAATTCTGACCCTACCACTTATAAATCCTGTGTGGTGCTGGGCAAACCCCATGGCACATCTCAGCCATACCTTCCTCATAAAATGGAGAGAATAAGATTGTTGACTTGATAGTGTTGTGGTGTGCCTAGCTCATGGTAGACCCTCAACAAATAGTGAGAGGGACATACTGCTTCCTGCCTGTTCTCACAGAAGGCCTGGGCTCTGTGCTCTGACCGTAAGCCTTTTGGAAACCTTAGGAAGCTAAGCCCCAAGATCTATGGAGGATTTGTAGGTTAGTCAGCCTATCAGCCCCACCCTGTTGTGTAGATACCCCAGCTCCCTGACTCTGCCTGGGCTCTTTTGTGGCAGCCTCCTGTGTAAACAGCCTGAGATAAGTGATTCCAGCTCCTCTTAGGGATGTGCCCGGGTCCTGGAACTTGGATCAGAGCCTCAGACATTGGAGGTTCTGGTTCCCTGCTGTGCACTGCTTGTAGGCTGTGGTCCAGCCTCACCCGCAGGCTCTCTGCCTGAGACTTTTCCAAAACCCATGGGTCCAGTGCTCAGAGTTGTGTACACTTCTGCAGCTTTAAAAATGGCTCCCTCATGAGAGAGAAGATCCGCAATGAATGTGCTTCCTGTTCCTGGAGTGAGTTCTCTAAGGCACTGCAGTCCACAGAGATGGGGAACGGCGGAAACCTGGGTAGGCTGTTTAGTGATGCCTGGGCCTACGAACGGGCCGTAGCTGTTTGCTGGAGGGGCAGGGTCTGGAGCCCCAGGAGTTGGGGGAGAGGAGGCCCATGGAGAAGTCCAGGGGAGTCCTGTTTGTCTGTACTTCTACTCCGTAGACCTTACAAGCTGATGTGTTATCCCATGTTCTAGTGAGAGTCCTGAGACAGCTGTTGGCCACTGCCCAGTGTATTGGGTGGAGGTCAGGCCATAGCTGCCTCTTCTGACCTCCTTGAAGTCCCTGGTGACAGCATCAGAATTGGCATCCATAATATCTCCCCTACCCTGGTGCTTCCCCATACACAGCTTTCTGCGTGGACACAAGGTTCTGTTAGGAAAGGTGCCCAGCACCTGGGCAGGCCTCTGAGCAGGGAGAGGATGTGCCTCCCTTGGTGAAACCTGTGTTGGTATTTCAGGAGGGTTGGTTAAGCCATTTCTTTAAATGGGCTGCCAGGAGGGAGTAGGAAGTCACTTCCAGGAAAACCTATCTTGGGCCTTTCTGGGTTTCCTTTTGTTCTAATGGAAAGAAGGAACTGAAAATATTCCCAAGGCTCATCTGTGGACATGGATATGGGTCATTTCACCTTTGCCCTTTTCTAAGACTGTTGAGAAGCTAATCTTTGTTTTTGATGCCTGATCAGCTGATCTCTTCCTGGTTTTGTTTCAGGTTTTTATTTTGATGTAATGGAGATCACCCCTGAAATTATTGGGCGTCATAGGTTTAATGCAGAAAACCATGAGGTAGGTATGTTATTAGCTGCATTGATTCCAGTTCTGAGTGTTAAATTTAACAGTTGCCTGTCAACTTGTGCTACTTTTAGGGACTTCATTTCCTCCCATCCACTGGGGAAACAGACATTTTGCATGTGCAGCCCGCCTTCTAGAGGCTGGGGAGGTAGCAGGGTCTAAGACAGACACCACCCTTTCCCCCAAGGAGGTGCGTGGGAAACCTGAGTGCTCTCTGAGCTAACACTCGCTCCCTTGCCTCCACTGAGTGTCACAGAGCTTGTTTCTTTGTTGAGCCTTACCCTACACCTACCAATGGCTCATAGATTTTAAGGACAGAAATTGCTTCCTTGTAGAAAAAAGCCTATGGGATGGGAGATACTACCATTTATTGAGCACTATTTGGTTCCAGGCACTGTGTTTGTGGTTTTCTGCATCTTTCATTTACTTTTTAAAGCAATCCCAGGAGGTAGGCATGATTATTCCTCTTTACAGATGGAGAAATTGAGGCTTAGGCTTAACCTGCCCAAAGTCACAAAGTGACAGTGAATGCAGGAGGCACAGACCCAGTTCTCTCTGCCTCAGAAGCCACTGTTCTCTTTCTCCTTCACCACATGGCCTCTCCCAGGAGGGATTTAGTCGGTGGGTTTGGATTGACTTTTCTGTTACCCAATAGTCATTATCCCAATTTTGGGTTGGACCTGAGAGTTGCTGTGATCCCGTTGAATGTGGATGAACCTCTTTTAGACACTATTTAATCATTGTAACAGGTTGGAGTTGGAATAGATGGCTGACAAAGGCCTAATATATTTGGTTTAAATGGAAAGCTTTCGAATTAATGAACTCTCTACCACTGTAACAAAATACCTGAGAAAAACAATTTAAAGAAGGGAAAATTTATTATGGCTCACTGTTTCAGAGGTTTTGGCCCATGGTTACTTGGCATGGTTGACTGTGGGCCTGTGGTGAGGCAGAACATTCTGGCAGGGAAGGCATGATATAATAAAGCTGCTTACCTTGTGGTGACCCAGAAGCAGGGGGTGGGGTGAGGACAAAATAAAACCTTCAAAGGCATTTCTCCACCACCACCTACTTCCACTAACTAGGCCTCATTTCCTAAAGTTTCTACCACCTTCCAGCAGTGCCGTCAGCTGGGGACCAAGCTGTTAGCACATGACCTTTGGAGGACATTTATGATCCAAACCTTAGAGACTTTATATGAAGTGAAAGGAGTTCCTCTTGATCCTCTGATGGGATCAGTTTGGTTTCTGTTCAGAGAGAGAGAGAAGATATGTCTGCTCTCTTAGGCATGTCAGTCCCAGCTTTGGCAAGGAGAAGGTAGCAGACATGTCTGATTGGTGTCAGGCGCTAGGGACACAAAGGAGGGCAAGACACAGGTGGTCCTGGCTCTGTGGAGTCCACAGTCTAGAAAGGAGATGGACAGTAAGCAGGTAAAGGAAAACATACACCACTCAGGAGGTGATGCAGGAGAGAGCAGGAGGTGGGCTGGGGCTTGCCCATGTGGTGTGATCTGAGTGGCCCTCTCTGAAAAAGGGCCCTTAGGCTAAGACCTGAAGGATGGGGAGGCTGTCACTGTGGGCTGGAGTAAGCTTCCAGGGAGGGAAGGCTAGAGCATAGTAGTTGGTGAGGGAGGGAGTGGCAGGTTCTATTCTTGGTCTCAGGTCTAGAAAGACAGGGTGGAGCTTGATGGTGACACCCATCAGTGTTAGCTTGACCAATGCCCCTCAGCTCCACAGCCGTGAGCTTCCAGCATAAGCTCATGGCTCTCACCTATCAAGTATTAACTACATCTATCAGGCTGTGATTTGATACGATCATTATAACAAGCCTAAGAAACAGGTGCCACTCTTACCTCAGTCTTGTTAAGAAAGAGAATGATGCTCAGCAAGATGGAAACAAATCAGGATCACAGAACTGACGGGTGGAGTCAGACTTTAACCCTTGGCTGCCTGACACTGAGCTCTGTGAGGCCTCTGACTCCCTAAAGTATTACACACGTGAGATGCGAGTCCCTCTCTCTCTTTCTCTCTCTCTCTCTCTCTGTTTCTTTTTGTTTGTGCATGTGACAAGTGAAGTTAGTGGTTGAAGAGACCAGCTACTCTAATTCTGGTGTGTTGTTGAAAGACATATCTCTCTCTCTCTCTCTCTCTCTCTCTCTCACACACACACACACACACACACACACACACACACACACCTGCATACCAGTGGGCGTTGGGAGTTCCTCACTGTGTGCCTACCTTCTCCTGGAATCAGGTCCCAGCATTCCCCAGAGATGTGGAGATTCGAGCACTGATCGAAGGACAATTCATGGCCAAGAGGATTCATGCAGAAGGCCTGGGCTACCGAGTCAGTAAGTGAACTGCTGGCAGGGTATGTGCTGGAGTAGGTACCCAGTCGCACCTCAGACCAGGGCAGGCAGGACAGTGTCTAAATCTGTTACAGGGGGCCTCACACAGGAGGGTGGTGGAGCCTGACCCTGGTGGGGGGTGGTAAAGTGAGTCTGCCTGCCTCTGTGGGCAGGTGTGGAAGAGGAGGCGGTTAGCCTGCTTCTCAGCTGCTTCCCCAGGAGCCTGCTTTCTTAGCCAGGAACCACAGGACCCAAAAAGGATCCCGAGTGCCTAGCCACAGACCAGACATCCTGAGCTCTGGATCCCAGGGACATGGGCAGTGCAAGTGGCAGGCTCTACTCTGGGCCATGACTGGGACTTTCCGCTTGGGCCAGGACAAGTGGGGATTCAGTACCACCATCAAAACTCAGAGGACTGGCGTGACCCAGGGCTCAGAGGGAGGCAACCAGGAAGAGAAAGGGATTCATGAGGACTTGAACTGTGGGGTAGGTGACTCCAGAAGATCAGCGGGTTCCCGTTACTGATGGTAATGAAATGGTCTGAGGTTCTGAGAGGAAACGAGACTGGATGACCATAGAATTCAGGTTTCCGAGATGTATCTGTCCCTCTGAGAAACAACTGTTGTCACTGGAGAAGGTCAAAAACCTCTGAAGCCACTTTGCTTGAGGGCTCCCTTAGGAGCCTTTTATGGGCAGTTCATGTTCTGTGTGGGATATGCTTTGTTATGTCTTTGAACCAACCCTGTAAAAGGATGCTATAAAAATAAGCACTGGATAAACCTCTTGGAAAACCTGTTAGACAGCATCTGCTAAAGCTGGATATCCACTTTCCCAGCAATCTTACTTCTATGTAAATGCACAATAGAAATGTATACATATGTTCTTCAGAGGTTCATGAGAACCTTTATCAGGGTGTGTTTAATAGCCCCAAGGTGGAAGCTGTCCAGTGCCCATCCACAGTAGACAGGATGAATGCATTGTGGCCTACTCATGCAACAGGATGCTAAGCAGAAATGTAAATGAACCAGCTTCAGCTACCTGCAACTAAATGGGTAAATCTCATGGAAGTAGCACTGAGTAGAAGACGCCAGACACTGGAGTATAAATGGCAGCATTCTGTGTACATCAGACTCAAGACAGACAAAACTATTTGCTGTTGTTGGAAGTCAGGGTAATTAGTAGTTATCTTTCAGAAAAGAGAATGAAGCCAGGCTTGGTGGTACCTCCCTGTGATCCCAGCACCTGGGGAGGCTGAGGCAGGAGGATCACAAGTGCAAGGCCAGCCTCAGCAACTTAGCAAGACCCTGTCTCAAAATAAAATATAAAGGGCTGGGGATGTAGTTCAGTGGTAGAGCACTCCTGAGTTCAAACTCCAGTAACACACACACACATACACACAGGACATTTCTTGTACAAAGCAGCATAGAGATATTTATCCCCTTAGCAAACTTAAAATCAGAATCAAACCTCTTTCCAGCTCAGCTTATTCTCAAATAAGACCTCTCTCTCTGTCACTCTTATTTTTTTGAACAAGCCCAGGACCTTACACATGCTAGGCAAGCACTCTACCACAGAGCTACACTCAGACCTACTCTTTTTTATTAGAGCATATTAAATATATAGAATAACAGGTTTCATTGTGGCATATTCATACATGTGTATGACATTTTGATTATTTCCACTCCCTATCACCAAACGCTTCTCATCTCCTCTATCCTTTTCCTTCTTTTAATAGTCTTTCTTCTAATTTTATATCATCTTTCCCCTCCTAGATTCTACATATGAGAGAAAACATGAAATACTTGTCTTTCTAAGTCTGACTTCTTTCATTTAACATATTCTGTAGCTCCATTTACTTTCCTGAAAACGACAGGATTTTGTTCTTTATAGGTTAATAATACTCTATTATGTACATGTACCACATTTTTAAAATCCATTCATCTGTTGACGGACACCTAGGCTGATTCCATAACTTGCCCATGGTGAATTATAATAAACATGTATATGTGGGTATCTTTATAGCATACTGACTTTTTTATTTTGTATATGTGTGGTACTGGAGATTGAACCAGGGGCATTCTACTACTAAGCTACATTTTTCTTTAAAGATTTCTTTTTTAGTTGTAGATGGACACAATATCTTTATTTTGTTTGTTTATTTTTTATGTGATGCTAAGGTTCAAACCCAGTGCCTCACACATGCTAGGCAAGTGCTCTACCACTGAGCCACAATTCTAGCCCCCACAGCTCTTTTTTAAATTTAATTTTTTTAAAAAAAAATTTGACACAGGATCTCACTAAGTTGCCAAGGCTGGCCTCAAACTTGCGATCCTCTTGCCTCACTCTCCTAAGTAGATTACAAGTGTGTGTTACTGTGCCCAGCTAGTATATTGACTTTAATTCCTTAAGCTATATACTCAGGAGTGGTATAGCTGAATATGTGGTAGTTCTATTTTTAATTTTTTAAGGAACCAATTCCCATGATGGCTATGCTAATTTATGTTCCCACCAACAATGTTTAAAAGGTGCTTGCAGCATTTATTGTTACTTGTATTCTTTTTTTTTTTTCCCCTCCAGTATTGGGGATTGAACCCAGGGTGCTTTACTGCTGATGTACCTCTCCAGCCCTTTTTATTTTCTATTTTGACACAGGGTCTTGAGCTGTTTTGACCTTGCCTTTTCCTGCTTAGCCTCCTGAGTACCTTGAATTACAGGGGTGCACCACCTCAACATGTTATTTGTATTCTCGATGATAGGCATTCTGACTGGGGAGACTCAGCCCAACTTTTATCTTTTTATATTCCTTCCTTCTATGTCATTTGAGTCCTTTTCTTTTTCTATATTTTACTATATTTATTCCTATTTTGTATTGTCTTTTGATTAATGCATTTCAAAAAGCTAGATGTTAACTGGGCCTGGTGGTGGCATGCCTGTAATCCCAGCGGCTTGGGAGGCTGCGGCAGGAAGAATTTCAGGTCAAAGCCAGCCTCAGCAACTTAGTGAGGCCCTAAGCAACTTAGCAAGACCCTGTCTCTAAATAAAATATTTTTTTTAAAGGACTAAGGATGTGGCTCACTGGTTAGATGCCCCTAGGTTCACTTCCTGGTTAAAAAAAAAAAATTCCATAATATGTTGTGTGTTCAGTTTTGCATTTCTTTTTTTTTCCATTTCTAGAAAGAGTAATTTTCATCTTTTTCTGTTCTAATGAATGTTCTTTAACCCAGCCCTTTGCTGTCTTGATATATTCTCCATTTCTTTAGTTTGTAGGGGCAGGATGAGAGAGAAAGTATGTCTGCACCCTATATTTCTTAGCTCAGCTCACTGAAAGAGGCTGGGAGCAACATAATCCCAGTAGCAAAGAGCATCCAGAGAACGAATTTAAACACCTTTCTCCACCCAAGGAGCCAGGGATCCTTGGATTAATGAAGGTTATAGGGGCTGATATAAGGATAAAACAAGTTGAACCTGCCACATTTTCTGTGCTATGTCTTGTCCAATTTTTTTTCTGTCTCTGTTTACCACTCTAGTTTTAAGAAATTCCCTGATTTGTATCATTCAGGTTATTAAATTTGACTTTGCCATGTTTATTATTTAGCCTTTCCATTTAGTTTTTTATTTTTGTAACCATGCATTATTTTTTAATTTCTCGGACTCTTTCTTGTCTCCTGGTTCTTTCTTATAGTGTTATATCCTTGTTTTTGGAACGTTATATTCCTTCAAATATTTCTGAAGATTCATATTAGGGTTTATTTCAAATTGGCTTTTTTAATTCCTTCAGTTATTGCCTTATTTCTAGGGTACTCTATTTGTTCACATCGATCCTTCTCTTTCTTGCTATTGTTGTGGTTGTTTTTTCTTTTTCGAGAACAGAGTGACTGGGGGTTCTTGGCACTAAATGAATCACATCTCTTAGTGGAAACAGCAAGCTTAGGTTTCCTTTTCAGGAGCAAGGTCTCTTCTCCTAGTGGACCTTCTTCCCTGCCCAAATACAAGAGATACCTAGATAGGCTTCCTATTTGGGTGAATGTGTTAACTTTCTGTCACTGTGGCAAAATACCTGACAGAAACAATTTGAAAGGAAGAAAGGTTTGTACTGGCTCACAGTCTCAGAGATTTCATTCAGTTCACATTCACTTGGCTCCGTTGTTTCTGGGCCTGTAATAAAGCAGAACGTCATAGCAAGGAGTACATGTGGAGCAAAGCTATTCACCTCATGGTGGCTGAGATCATAAAGAAAGGGGCTGGGAACAAAATCTACCCTTGAAGGAGATACCCCAGTGACCTACTTCCTCCAACTAGGCCCTACCTCCTAAGGTTCCCACCACCTCCCAGTAGCCCACTAAGCTATGAATCTGTCAGTAGATTCATTCATTGATGAGGTTAGAATGATCCCATCACCCCACCAGAGGCCCCACTTCTGAACACTCCTGCATGGGGAACTGAGCCATCAACACCAGAGCTTGGGGGACATTTCATTTCCACACAACAGTGAAAAGATAGATTTAACTTGATGCCTTTGAGCGCTGTAAATGCTGTCAAGATGGAGTCTTCCCTACAATGTCTTCAAATGCCAAAATGAGCAGGATGTTATTCTGGTTAAAAGATGAGCCCAGCTTCTTTTTCTAGTAAATAAGTGCAGCCACCGTCTATCTGTCCACGTCTATCTGTCCGTCTGCCATGGGGAGTTTGGTGTTACTTCAGGTTCTACTTCTCTGTCCACTGCACCCCAAAGACTTCCCTTTTCACTTGAGGTCAGACCAGGGACAGAGAATGGAGAGAAGGGGTTTCATCACCACCAACATTTAGCATTAACCACCTTTAAATTTGTTGCCCATCTGATGAGTGGGTCTAAACAGATATCTCAGTGTTTCATTAATGAGTTTGAACAGCTTTGAGTAACTTTAGTTTCTTCCTCTGTGAACTGATTTATTTATATCCTTTCCCATTTTTCTGTTGAATTGCCTTTTTAAAAATTGATTTGCAGAAATTCTTGGTATATGTTGAAGATTAGGTCCTTGTCATTTTTCTGTGTTGCAAACCTCTGTTAATCTTACAGTGTTGGCACTGGAAGAGAATTTTCACCAAACTAAAGCCATCACATTTTCATCTTATATTTTATGAGTTTGCAATGTTAAGAGGGTTCCCCTATGCTAGTGTCCCAGAAATATTGTTTTGCATTCAAGAATGTTATAATTTTACCTTCCCTATTTTTGACTTTTATCCATCAGGAATCTGTGTATGGTATAAATTGGAATCTGATTTAATTTTTTTCTACATGTTGATCTAATTTTCTCTGTTTTTCCCCATTACTTATGGTGCCTCTTTATCATTTTTTAAATCCCTACATATACATGGACCTCTCTCAGTCTTTCCTTTTCTACTCCATTGGTTTGTTTGACTGTTCTTGGGACAAACTGTATTATTGTGACTTTGTAGCATGTCTCTGCATTAGTCCTCTAGGGCTTCTAAAACAAAGTACATCAGACTGGGTGGCTCAAACCACAGAAATTTATTTTCTTACAATTCTGGAGGCTGCAAATCTGAGATCCATCTTCTCTCTTTGTCTCCTTCTGTGTGCCTCTACATTTTAACTTCCTCTTCTTAAATGACATCAATCATATTGGATTAGGGTCCACCTTAACGACTTCTTTTAACTAAATTACCTTCTTTTTTTTCCTATGGCAGGTATAGGGGATTGAACTCAGGGGCAGTTTGCCACTGAGCTATATCCCCAGACCTTTTTATTTTGTATTTATTTATTTATTTTTGTACTAGGGATTGAACCCAGGGGGCTCTTAACCACTGAGCTACATCCCTAACCCTTTTCATATTCTGGGTCTTGATAAGTTGCTGAGTCTAGCTTTGAACTTGTGATCTTCCTGCCTCAGTCTCCCTCTACACTGGGATTACAGGTGTGGTCACCGCAACCAGCTTTATTTTGTATTTTGAGGCAAGGGTATTGAGGTTGGCCTCAAGCTTATAATCCTTCTGTTTTGCCTTCCTGAGTCTCTGGGATTATAGGCGTGTACCACTGTGCCAGGTCTAAATTACTTTTTTTTAATATTTATTTTTTAGTTGGACACAATATCTTTATGCTGAGGATCGAACCCAGGGCCTCTCATGTGCTAGGCGAGTGCTCTACCACTGAGCCACAACCCCAGCCCTCTAAATTACTTTTTAAAAGATATATTTATCTTGCTCTTTGTCTCCAAATACAATTATATTCTGAGATACTGGCTGGCTAGGACTTTACCATATGAATTTGGGAGGGAGATGCAATTTAGCCCATAATAATGTCTTGTGTTTATTTTTTATTTGTTCTGATTAGTTATACATGAAGGTAGAATGCATTTTGACACATTGTACACAAATGGAGCATAACTTCTCATTTCTCATGTCTTAATATCTAATGTATCAATTCTCCTCCTGGTTTTTCTTCTTGTTTATAGGACTTTATTTTTCTATTAATATCTTATAACAATTTGGCTCAGTTCCTAAAACAAAAATCCAATTGGAATTTTTATTAGATTACACTGAATTTATACTTTCATTTGAAAAAATAGCATGTTCATAATATTAATCAAGCCCAACCAAGATTGTGGAATATCTTTTACTTTATCTAGATATCATTTTTTGTCCTTTAATAACATTTCAGTTTTTTCTTCATAGAAACCTTTGAATTCTTTGCAAAGGAACTAACTGGCTACATTACATTACTAGTTGCCTTTGTGAATGGTAATTTATTTTCTACTGCATTTGCTATCTATTATTATTAAAAATGCCACTGATTATTATGTTACATGCAAGTATCTACTAACCTTATTAATATTAGTTCACTTTTTTGTTTTATTTTTCTAAGTAGATGACCTATAGATGACTATTGGTCTGCAAATAGTGATAGTTTTCTTGGATCCTTTTACCTTTTTTGTTTATCTTATGGCATTGATGAGTATGCCACTTACTATGTTAAATACTACATACCATGGATCTTTGCTTTTTTCTGAATTCTATTATTTATCTATTGCTGTTTAACAAATTAACTCAAAATTTAGCCCCTTAAAACAATAATCAGCCTTTATTATCTTACACAATTCCCTTGGTTCAAGAATTTGAGTCAGCATAACCAAGTGGTTCTTTTTGTGCATTTTTTTTGTAAAGGTGTCTTCTTATGTTGCTCAGGATAACCTCTAAATCCTGGGATCAAGGGATCCTCCTGTTTCAGCATCCCAAGTAGCTGGGACTCTAGGCACACAACAGAGTATCCCAGGTAGCTGGGACTACAGGTGCATACCACTGAGCCAAGCTCTGCCTAGTGGTTCTTACTGAGAGTCTGTCTTGAGTTTGCAATTGAGCCATCTTCCAGGGCTCAAGTCTTCTGAGGACTCCAAGAAGGCTAGAGGATCTGCTTCTAAGATGGTATATTCACATGGCTGTTGGCAGAAGACCTTGGTTCCTTACCATGGAGACTTCTCCATAGGGCTGCTTGAGTATCTTCATGACATGGCAGTTAGCTTCTCTTGAATTGGGTAATCCAAGAGAGAATGATCTACATCAGAGCAAGATGGAAGCTGCAATATCTTTTATGACCTAGTCTTGGAGTTCATACCTACCCTGTCACGCACACAAGTCCTGTTGGTTACATGAGTTATCCCTGTTTGAACGTGTGAGGAGGTTACATGAGAACATGGATATTGGGAGGCATGGGTCATTTGGAGGTCATTTTGGAGTCTGGCTGGCATATCAGTCTTAAAGACAATACTTCTTAACCTTTATATTAAGAATGGTGTTTGTTGTAAATTTTGGTGAATTCTTCTGTCTTGTACAGTCCTTTAATCATCTAAGGAAATTTCTTTCTATTCTTGGTTTTTTGAGAGATTTAAAAAAAAATAATGAAAATGTAAGACAATAAAGGTGGGTGGACAGCAGTCTCCCTAACAAATTACATGTGACAGGCCTACGTGGACAGAGTCAGCTTTGGTTCTCTTCCTGGTCATGGATATTACAAAAGGCATTGTTCCCTCACAATCACTCAGTGACTGAAGAACTCTGGAAAACAGCCCTCTCTACCATGGGGGAATTGTCACAGCCATTACACTTTTTTTTTTCCTTGCAGTGCCCAAGACAAAGATTCTGGCCACAGGAGGAGCATCTCACAATAGAGACATCTTACAGGTAGGTGCTGGTAGTGGACTGCATGCCATGGCCCCTTCCATGTCTGTCGTGTCTAAGAGCCAACAGGAAGCGCTGCCTCTGTTTCCACACCTGCAGGAATGGGGAGCCCATACTCACGCTCTCAGAAGCTAGCTCTTTGGCCTTATAGCTCCCACTGTGAGCGAGTTCCATCTTACATCCAGGTGAATTCTTTGGTCTTTTATAGTCCACTCTCTGATAGCAGCAGTGACCTCTGGAAGCCCATGGGAAGTGCCTGTCCTTCCCCTGTTTGAGTTTTCTGACATCTAAGACAGTGTTCTTATTCCTTAATGCTTCTCCCTTTTAACTCTCTGACTCTCCAACCATTCCTATTGTAACTCCGTTTCCAGGCTTTGTCTCTGTCCCTCTGGTCCTCCATTATGCTAGAAATATATGACCCAAAGTAGAATCAATCTACACATTTCTGACACTCAGGCTATCACATTGTACAGCCATTAGCTCCTCTTAAGGGGACACTGTACATTTTGGGGTTTAGCCTGTGGTTGCCTTAGCTATTTGAGTAATGACCTCAACTGCTGCGCTCTGGCATACCTGTCTTAGGTAAGATTATCTAGGAGCAGAGCCTGAAGTGAGGATTCTTCCATAAGTTGTTTGTTGATGGTACTCCCAACAGGAAGGGAGTACGGAACTCAGGACAGGGTTGGGGAAAAAGAATAAGCAAGGATATGACCTGGAGTCTGCTTTAGCTTTGTCCTCTGGGGTGCTCTGGAGCATGAATTAACTACTGAGCTAGTTCTGCCTTGGGCAGTGGGGCCAACTAATTGTCTTGGAGAGGGCTGAGTTGAGAGATAGCCTCTGTAATTTGTTCTCATGAGGAGGAAATACTGTGAGCCATTAGCTTCCAATACTCAGCAGCTGGGTGGGGGATACACAGGGTCCAGTGACGAGAATCCTGATGGGGTGCCAGTGGCATCTACTACAATACCTCTGGGCAATTATAAGACCTTCCTCCAGTCTTTTCCATGTGAAATCGTCTTAATACAGTTCCTCCATTCTAAATTTATGCAGTTTAATTTTTGTACCTAAATGAAGAGGTTCATCATGATCCCTATAAAATGTGACCTTGGCTGCATGCCTATCTACAATCCCAGTATAATCCTTGGCCTACCGAGGTAGGAAGATCACAAGTTTGAGGCCAGCCTTGGCAACTTAGACCCTCAGAAACTTAGTGACCCTCAGAAACTGTCTCAAAATGAAAAATAAAAAAGGACTGAATATGTAGCTCAGTGGTAAAGTATTCCTGGGCCCCATCCCCTGTACCAATAAATAAATAAATAAATAAATAAATAAATAAATAAATAAATAAAGTTCCCTTGTTAGTTTGTGTTTGTTAACATTCATCTGTTTCCCAGCTGACAGTGGTATTTAGTAATCATGCCTCCTAAATCTCCTGCCTTGTCTAGTTAAAATGGTTTAAAAGTACAGGGATAGCCTGGAGAGCTGTTGCCCTCCGCTAGGGACTTCCCCCAAGTCACCCTTCCTCTGTTATCCCTGGGGCAGTGTGGCTATGTGTATTTCTTCTTGGGGTTGAACCCAGGGGTGCTTAGCTACTGAGTCACATCCCCAGCCCTTTTTATATTTTTATTTTGAGATGGGGTCTTGCTAAGTTGCTTAGGGTCTCGCTAAGTTGCTGAGGTTGGCTTGAACTTGTAATCCTCCTTCCCCAGCCTCAGGAGCTGGGATCACAGGCATGCACCACCACACTTGGCCCAAGTGTACTTCTTTGAAGGGCAGCAGAGGTGGAGTGGAAGGGATCAGAAGACATGAGGAAGGAGAGTCTGGAAATTTATTCCAGAATGTCCTTGTGTCCTCTGAGGAATGACTCACCACCATAAAAACTCTGTGTCCTTCCCAGGTGCTTGCAGATGTATTTGGTGCCCCGGTGTATGTCATAGACACTGCCAACTCAGCCTGTGTGGGCTCTGCATACCGAGCTTTTCATGGTAGGTTGATGAATGAGGGATCGGTGTCTCTGGAAGCTTTCTGGCACTGTCTGGGCTGAGGAGGGTGGGAAAGGAAAGTAAGGTGTTCCCACTTTGGGGAACTTGGGGACTTTAGCCTCATCTTTATCTCTCCCAGAAAACAAGGACCAACCTGTACCCTTCATTCCTTTATTCTCTACTTAAAATCGAGACAGGGATGCAGAATCCAAACTGAATGAGTCCTGGTAATAGTCTGGCTCTGCAGAGGGACACTGGAATAGGGCACAGGACATGCTTGAGTGGACATGGGCCTGAGTCTGGACAGATGGTGGGCAGGAGAGGTGAATAAAGCCGAGCCCTATGTTCAGCAAGAGCAGGAAGTTGAGACAATAATGGAGGCTTCAGAACCAAGCATTCCAGCACCCTGGACAGCTCCGTGTATGCTCTGATTGAGGCCTCGCAAAAACTCCAGATAGCACCCTCATCCAGGCCAGTTCTGGAGGGAGCAGCTCTTGCTCACAAGGGTGGTCTCTCTCAATTTGGACCAGTTTTCCCTGTTTCCTGCCTGCTGAAGGAGCTTCTGGCTCTCGTGTGCCTCCAGGGCTTTGTCCCTTCCCTCTCTAGTGCTTCCAGTCTTTGCATGCTTGCTCTCAACTCTTCAACATACTTATCCAAACTTATACTTTTCTTTTAATGTTGAGAATAAATCACAGATATTTCCTCAACAATTAACCTTCTTTATTCCTCTCCCTTTTGCCTCATCTTCCTCACCCCACCTCTTACATCAAGATCACTGGGGGTTTTATTTCCAGATTTTTATTTCCAAAACACAACTATTTTTAATTACATTTTACATCATATTAGCTCTTATTTGCACTTAACTATGAGTCTTTCTTCCTTTCTTTCAACTCTCTGCATTTTCTTTTCTTTTTTTCTCTATTAATTTTGTTTGCTTTATTTTTTAAATTTATTTTATTTATTTATTTTTATTTTATTTTATTTTATTTTTTTTGTGTGTGTTTGTGTGTGTGTGTGTTTTGGCACTGTGGATCAAACGCAGGGATTTGCACATGCTAGGAAAATGTTCAAAGTGACCATAGGTGGTATAACTGTTGCCCTACTGAAGTGTTTTTATAGGTATTCTATATATAGTATGATAGGATGTAATAGGTTAAAATCATGCTTAGAGCTGTGTGCAGCCACTGGTAGAGGCACTTGCCTAGAATGTGTGAGGACATAGGTTCAATATCCATCTCTATTTCTATACTAGTTTTATTGACAAATGAAACCAAAATTGATTGAATGATTGATTGATTGATTGTGGTTCTGGGGATCAAACCCAAGTCCTCATGCATGCCAGACAAGTCCTCTGCTACTGAACTACCTACCCAACCCTCTAAATGAATATTTTAAGATAGAATCCAGCCACTGATGATTTTGAGGCCTGACATGTCCAACAAAGTTTTGGTTTCATTGTCCCAAAGAATGCTGGGTAAAAGAATCTGAGTTCAGAATACTTTTCCCAAGAACCTTGATAATGCTGTTGCCTGATCTGGCCTTCAGCATTGCCAGGGAGAAGTCTAGAGTCCATATGATACTCCTCCTACTGCAGAAATGGGAAGGAGTTACCCTTTAGTTACTTCATTGCTGTGTTATCCTATGTTTTGATTTTCTTTTCCCTTTCTATGCTCCTTTAGTTGCTGAAGGGTATTGGGTCTGTTTCCCTGCTCTGCCCTCCAAAACCAAAGCCTGATCTGAATCCTAGCTCAACCTCAAGGCCTGTTAGCTGCTTTATTTGGAGCTTTCTCCTCCCTTGCTGGTCTGGGAATGAACCTCTCCTGCAGCAGGGTTGTGAATGTGAGTGGAACCAGGAACAGAGTCTGATTTGTTTCTCAGCTGGCCACCCACCACCCATCCCACTCCCTCATCCATACTCCTCTGGCATGAGATTTTCTAGCACCTAGTTGGGAAAACTGGTTCTTACATCTTCAGGGGACCCTCCTTCACTCAGGGTGCTGATGCATTACTCTGGCCATCTGACACCCCTGCTTAAAATGCCTAGGATTTCCATACTGCTTCTTGCCCACCCATGGCAGCCTTCCCTTCTTTCCAGCTCTGCTATGAATTTGCTTGATGAGCAATGATTGAGTGCCTCCTATGTGCCAGACCATGTGCTGGGCTCCTGGGGTACCATGGTGACTCAGAGAGATGCAGTCTCTGGCCTCCTGGAATTTGTAGCTTGGCCAAGGAGGAACTTTAAACAAAGGATCACCCAGGGCAATGTGGCTTATTGTTAGTGTGCCTTACTGACAAGTGCAAGACCCTGGGTTCAATTCCCATACAAAACAAAGAATCACCTAACAAATTACAAAAAGTGCTCTGGGGAAAAGTAGATGGTGCTCAGGGCTGGAGGCTGGGGGAGGCCTCCTGAAGTAGTGAGCTTCCTAGGAGCAAATTATCTAAGAAGGAAATGGGTACATGTAGAGGGAAAGAACATTCTAAGGAAAAACATGTGGAAAGAAGACCAGGGTGGTCAGAACATGGTGAGCAATGGGAGAGTGAAGCAGTACACAGGAAGACAAGCAGGTTGTCTGCTTCTGTCATATCTGAGGGTTGGCTTGGCCACGCCATGAAAAGCCACTCTACAGCAAGCAAGACAGACTAGGCCCCTGCTGAAAAGCAGTCTGACTTGAAATTTTTTTTCTTTTTTTAAAAACAAAGTTATTGAGGGGCTGGGGTTGTAGTTCAGAGGTAGAGTGCCCGTCTAGCCTATGTGAGGCATTGGGTTTAATCCTCAGCACCACATAAAAAAAATCAAATAAAGATATTGTGTCTACCTATAACTAAAAAATAAATATTAAAAAAACCCAAATTTATTGAGGTACAGTATGTGACACAAAAGTCACCTATTTTAAGTGTACAATTCAGTGATATTTTTAGTAAATTTGCTGATTTGTGCAACCATCACCATAATCCATAATCCAGTTTTGGAATGTTTTGGTTTTGTCTTGATGCTGGGGATCAAACCCAGGGCCTTGAACATGCTAAGCATGATCTTGGCTTAGAACCAAACCCCTAGTTTTAGGACATTTTGTCACCCCAATGTGATCCTTTGCAACATGCACAGATAGGAAATGGTCTTTCCCTTCTTGAACTTCAGGTGGAAAAGACGTGCCCTTTACAGAGGTTGTGAAGTTAGCCCCAAATCCAAGACTAGCTGCTACTCCAAGCCCAGGAGCTTCTCAGGTGAGACACCATCATATTTTGTCATGCATTTGCACTGTGAAAGCAGACCAGGGTATTTTTTTCCCAAAAAGGTTAGTTTTTTTAATCATATACATTAAATTTGATGTGTTCAACTGAAGAGGAAATCCTGTTTTGAAATTATCAAGAAAATGGGGCAAAAGAAGCGAGATTGTCAGCTGGAATGCACAAATATTGCTGACACTGATGGGAATTCTGAAGATAGTGTTGGTTTGGTGGTTCAGCATCAGAGGTCTGAGTAATGTTCCTTGCAGTTCCCCAGATTAGCAATGGACAAAGGGAACCTAATGTGAGCCACCTGTGTTATTTAAAACTTCCCAATAGTCTCATTTTTCAAAAGTAAAAATAAATAAGATTAATTTCAATAATATATTTTATTTAATCCAACATATCAAAAATATTGTCATGACAACATGTAACCAGTTAGAAGAATTACTACTGTAGCCAACTTGTGCACACAAGTTGCTCTAATCCCAGCTCTTTGGAAAGCTGAAGCAGGAGGACCATAAATTCAAGACTAGCCTGGACAACTTAGTGAGACCCAGTCTCAAAATAAAACAATAAAAAGGACAGGGAATGTAGCTCAATGATAGAGCACCTTGTTGCTCAATCCTCAGTTCCATACCAAAAAAAAAAAAAAGGAAAAAAATTTACTAATATGATATTATTATATAATAGTATTATTCTTTTTTGTATGTGTACGAAGCTTTTGAAATTTGGTGTGTATTTTGATCTTACAGTTCTAGGCAGGCTTCACATGCAAAGGCACACGTGGCTTGTGGCTGCTGTCTTGGATAGTGCAGCTCTAGATGTGCCCCATGTGGTCTCAGGATGTCAGAGCTGCTTCAAACATCATGCTTTCATGTAGCTGTGTTCAGAGGCAGGTATTGGAAGGTACCTGAACTGTAATGTGGAAGGCAAGAGGGAAAGAGATGGGCAGGTAAAAAGACCCTCTCCTGGACCACTGTGGGACCACTGTGAGGAATGCTGGCCAAGGTATCTCCAGTCTATACCCTTCTGAGGACCAAGGCATGGCCCATGGCAATCATATGAGTCTGAATGTTTAGTGGTATCTAAGAGGACTCCTACTGGGCTGAAGACCCTACATGTAGAATTATTTCCTTATTAGAGTTTCACAGAAGTATAACAACCAGGTCACAGACAATGGATCCCTTAATACAGATATAAAGTCAAGTTGATTTCCATAAGGGTTGTACCATCAATTTTCACTAGATATACAGTGAGACAATCATTCCCAACTACCCTCACCAGAATTTTTTTTTTAACTTTTGTAGATTTGATAACAAAAAATGGTTTCTTATCATAACGTACAGTTTAAAAAAAAAAGTCTTAAAATACAAGTTTGAGAACTAATAGCGGTTCTTTTTATTTTCTTCAGTATTGGGGATTGAACCCAGGGCTTTGCACATGATAGACAAGTGCTCTACCCCTGAACCATATCCCCATCCCTTTTTGTAAATTTTTTTTTTTGAGACAGGGTCTCCCTAGGTTGCCTTAGGCTGGCCTTAAACTTGTGATCTTCCTAACTCTGGGTCCCAAGACACTGTGATTACAGGCATACTACCAATGCTCCTACCGACTAGCATTTCCTCTTTTATGAATTGATGCTTCCTTTCCTTTGTGTAGGAAAAAAGCTAAATTGCAAGCTAAGAGGATTTAAAATTTTTAAATTGCAAGTTGCAACCAGATGTTAGAGCACCCTCCCCTCCTGTCCTAAATTGCTCTTTCTGCCCTTGTAGGTCTACGAGGCCCTTCTCCCCCGGTATGCTAAACTTGAACAGAGAGTCTTGTTCCAGACCCAAAGGCCTCTGGAATGAATTCTGCAGGCCCAGGCACTCCTGCCCACCCCTGCCTGCCCAGATTCACTGATCCCACTTGGAGACACAGCCCTGAACAACAGGGACTGTCTTCCCTGTTCTGAGCCGCTCTTCCTGCTCATGTTGACTCCTCAGAGTGCTCCTGCCCATCCAGGATCATCCTGAAGCTGACTTCAGCACATCTTCCTGAAGATATTTGGGCTGCCTGTGCCCTACGCCCTAGGTCGGGAGAGCATCTCTCCTTTCCTGTCTTTCATCCAAGGATGCAGGATAACACCAACTCTGGAATATATCCACTAAAAAGTGTGACCTTTCTATTTTCAAAGGCAAAATGAAAGCTGATCTTGGGACCTTAATCAGCAGAATGGGAGAGACAATGCCTTCTGCCACCACCTACCCTGGCCCTGACTACGCTCACCAAGCACAGATGCCCCACACTATACCTTGACCCTGCTGTTCATCATCTTCCATCACCCAGAGCCCACAGACACTTCTCTCCTATACCCTGGTCCTCCCAGTTGTTTCTGCCCTGTTCATTTTACCTTCCCAGGTGCCCTCCCAGGACTTCTCCTGTCCCACACCCTCCTTCCTTCATGTGCTCACCCTTCTCTGCATACGTCACTTGTCCCTCCCTTATGGGTCACCCAGTTTCTCCCCACACCCACCTGGTGTAATTCACCATTTCCCACCTGAAAAGAACTAATAGTCCTGGTGGACACACTTCTTATACCTTCCCTCAGTTCTGCCCAGAGTCTACTAGACTCTGGGTCTGGTTGGGCCATCTCCCAGGTGGTGGATTTTAGGGCTCTCTTCTCTTTCTCATTGCAGTTCAGTTTTTGAAGACATTATATCATGTTTCTGGGAGAATTTTGCAAATTCTTGATTTCTTTTTTATTTGGAGTATTTTCATCAGGTAAAGAACTGATCTCACTTTCAGTTATCTTCCTATATTTTTATGGATGTTGGGTTTCTTCTTCTCCACTGCTCCTGTTTTACTTTATATCTCTCTATTTCTGGATCAGTTATTTGCAAAAGCTTCCATAGAAAGTCCTTTGTGATCTTACTCCTGTTAAAATCCTCCAGATTTTTCTTCTGTCACAGGCCTTTGCTGATTCCAGTTAAACCAAAATACTTGTGGGCTCATCCAGAGTGGCAAGATGCTGCAGGCAGGTCTGAGACCTGGTGGATGAATAGTGACTGGTGGAAACTCAAAAGGGAGATGCTTAGACTGGGACTAGGACCAGAGCGTTACTTCTGTTAAGAATTGAAGCCATCCTGAAAGGGAGTGGTGTCCCTGGGGGGTTGGTGGGTGAAAAGGGAAAAAGGAAGCAAAAATCAAAAGATAACAGCCCATCAGATACAACAGCAACTCCAGGATACAGAAGAAAACACAACTCCCTCATCACCATCTGGACATTGCATGTTAAAGAAATTTTACATGAATCAATAGAAAAGGGCTCTCTTGGACCATGAAACAGAGTGAACTGTAACACAGCTCTCCAACAGAAAATTTTAAATCAATTAAAAATTCGTGGATGTGAAAGAAAACCACAGATCACAAATTCAAAAACAAAATGAAAAAGCTTTTCGAATGTGGAAAAGAATTTTAACAAAAAGATAAAGTCATAACAATATGGAGACTAAATTCCAACATATCCAAATGAAAGTAGATAACAGCTGTAGTACAGTAAGGCTCAAAGAAGGCAGGAATGAGAAGAAGATAGGCCAAGAAGAGACAGCATGGGTAAATCGGAGCTCCTGAAGGAAAAAAGAAAAGAAAAAGAAATTGAAATGGTATTAATATTTAGAACTCCCCAAAAGAAACTTCTGAACACTCTGAGCAAGTGCTCCATGACTGAGCTACATCCCCCACTCCTGAAACTAGATCTTGAAAACATCACTCTTGTCATTTGTGGAAATTGGCCCCAGATGATCAACTCTGAGACCTACTGCAGCAAACTATTACATGATGAAGCTGAAAGAAAAATTCTCCAGGCCAAAGATCTAGTCCCTTACAGAAGAAGATCAGATTGGTGTCAGACTTCTGAACAAAGCAAAATAGCAATGGAGCGACAATATCAAAAAGTTTTTTTTAAAGTATGAACTATGGATTTTTATATCCAGTTAAGCTGTTCTTTAAAATTCAAAGATACAGAAGGAAGTTTTAATTATGCAAGTGCTCAGGGAATATTATAACTTCTACGGAAAGAGAAGCTTCATCCAACTAGGAAATGATTGGGGAAACTTGAGCAAAAGTACATCTTTAGTTGTAGATCTGACATCCAAATGCAAGTGGGGGTAAGGGTGGATGAATAATTTTAAATGGTACATGCTTTGTCTAGAGGTAGACAACTAGAAAAGTGGAAAAGAAGGGAGAGGGAAAAGGGAAAGTATAAGAGTTCTTCATGGCATAAGCAATATGTAGGAGTCATATTTTTAAAATTGACAAACCAAAGGTTTGAGGCTTAAGTAAGGTAAAAGGGGAATTAAGAGCATTAAAGTATACTATACTATTGCCTTCAATAGTATAATATAAACAATATCATCACTAGAATAAAAGTGCAAATCTCCCTCAATATCCAAAGAGACAATAACTAAGTGGAAAATGTAGTGAATGTAGCATCATTCACATAGTAAATAATAAATCCAAGCATGTGAATCCCATCAGTAAATGTATGTGGACTTCATCCACCTATTGAAAAGAATTTCAGATTGACTTACAAACCAGCATGTCTGTTCTTTACAAGAGGCACACCTAAAATAAGTGATTCAGAAAGTCTTAAAAGTAAAGGAATAGGCAATAGCATACCAGACAAACGGAAACCACAGAAGGCAAGGTTTACAATTCATTTCTTTTTTTTTTTTTAATTGTCTTAATTAGTTACACATGACAGTATAATGATCTTGACATATCGTACATTTGAATCAGATGGGATATAATTTCTCATACAATTCATTTCTAACAGGGTAAAATTCAGGAAAAGAAGAGCATTAAGATACTCAATGCGAAATAAAGATACACTAATTATGAATGTTATAGTCTGAACTGCTCGGTTTGTGAACTTTGAATGATATTCTTCAACTCCCACCTATTTCCTGTGTAACAAAGAGTTCTTTGTACTTTTCTTTCCCTTTCATTTTTCATTATTTTAGTTGTGTTGCTTCTGGCTTGTCAAAGCATATGACATTTGTACAACAATCTGCAAAGAAAAATAGCTAGAAGTAATAGAGAAATTTAACATAGCACTCTTATTCAAGACTGAAGTTGAGGCAACAAGAACTACATAAAGATATTAGAGACCTAAATAATAGTTTCTATAAAGTAGGTCATCTGAATATATATATTGACTTTCACACCTTGGTAATATTATCTATTCTCACAAAATTGATAATTTATTATATTATAAAGAAAATCCCAGTAGCTTGCACAAAATAGTAATAGAACTTTTAACTACAATGCAACAAAATGAGAAATTAATAGAACACTTTTTAAAAAAAGTCATACCTGGAGAAGAGCTTCCTGTTAAACTACTCTTGGGGGGAAAAGAAGAAGCTAAATCAAAATTTCAGAACTTCTCAGAAAAATGATTAATAATGAAATTGATGTTATGTAATTAAAGCAGCAAATGAAATATAGCTTATAATATTGGAACACTGATACAAATGAAAAGTGAAATGAATTGTTATCCAACTCAAAAGGGAAAAGAAGAATAACCAAATGAAAAAGGAAAAATAAGAATGAGAACACACAGGTTAGGAAAATGAACAAAAAATAGGATAAATGAATAGAAATTAGATAATAAACATGGACAAACCATTATGTAATGTAAGGGGAGAATGCAGAAATACATGGAAAAAATAGTGAAAAAAAAATTTAATCTTAAAGATTACTTTTCACAATTGGATGGAATTAAATATGACACCCTAAATTAAATGGATAATGATCTAGGAAAATACAATATACTAAAGTGATTCCAATAGATAAAAGTTTAAATAGACTAATTTTCTTAAAGGAAATAGAAACAATTATCAAAGAACTACCCTGTAAAAAAGAGGTTCAATGGGGAATTCTGCCAAATCTTCACTGACCAAAACACTAGAAAAGAAAAAAAAATACCTCCTGATTATTTTAGGAAGCAAACATAACTTGATCCCGTATGGTGGGTTGCAGAAAACAGCCCAAATCTTTACATGTCCCTGTAACCTCATAACCTGCCATGGAATTCTGTTGTGCCATCCCTGTGTGATTCTGGGCTGTGCATGTGACTTGCTTTAGCAATGGGATTGTCATAAATGTGATGCAAAATGGGATTACTCCCACTTGTGCTCTCTGCCTTTGTCATGAAAATTCTGTAGCTAAATGGACCTGACCAAAGCCATTCAGTTTCAACCTTAGGGTTGTTGACTATCTCAGACATATGAGGGAGCCCAGAGGAGACCAGGACTACCCAGCCAAATAATTATTTTTTAAGACATTGAGATTAAATTGATTTATTACACAACGATAACTGATGAAAATTAGTGCCAAAACAAAAACCTAATATATTTAACATTGGAACTAGGCTGCGGAAGGAAGCTGGAAAAATGGTGAGAAAACCATTATAGGAAGCTAAAAACAAAATACAAGGAGAGTAGAAAAAATGGTGACCCGTGTTACCACCTGAAGGTGACTTGGAAGCCAGCAAATGTACCCACAGAACATGTAGCCTTGGAATAGAGATGTCTAGGTGAAATGTTGGAAATGTCTGCTTGCTGTTACTCCAAAGAATCAGTCAGATGTTAAGTAGAAAGAATTTAGAGGGACTACAAAGTACTACATTGGAATAATAACTTTCTCATCTCCATCCCTTAAAGCCAGAATAAGATTATGAAATGAAAACTTAGCTTTAAGTAAAAAAACGAAACCAAGGGCTTTGAGATACTTTTTCATGACTTTTTGTTTTTAGCTTGGTTTTGGTTTTAGTGCTGGGAATTGAACCCAGATCCTCATGCATACTAAACATACCCCTCCTTACATACACCCCTCTGAAGGAATCAAGGCACTATCTAATAGATCCTTCCACCTGCTTTCAGGAACAATTAAAATTGTTCCACAGCCATCGGACACACCTAGAGTATCAATGATTAAGATTGATGGGAGGAGCTCACAAATAATTGTGGGTGTGGCCTTTTGCACATAGAGTGGACTCCAATCAGAGTTTTCCCCAGAAAACTTTAGAGAGCTACACTGATGAAAGTGGTATTAATCTAGACTAAAAGGAACTACATGTAGAAAGACTCTGGGCCCCTGGGTAGAAAGCAAGCTATGAAAGTTGCTGAAAAGGCATATTTTACACTGTGTCTTCATAAGTGTCCAAGGAGGACAATAGAGAGTAGAAGGTACAATTTTTTTGAAGCCAAGAGCCAAAGAAAGCAATGGATTGGAGTAGACAAATTCCAATGTGGCCTGCAATGATCCCTGCCTCCCGGAATTTACGCCTTAGTGTAATCCCACCTTTTAAATATAAGTGGGGTCTGGGATATTCTTCTATTAGGATATGAGAAAGGTGATGGAATGTCACTTTTGTAATTATGTTGTGTAAGGTTTTAACTTCCATCTTCCTAGCAGGCTGTAATGACTCCCATGCTGGCTTTGATGAAGCAAGCTGCCCTACAGAGAGACCCACATGGCAAGGAACTGGGGCCAGCTTCTTGCCAATTTCCATCAAATAACTGCAGCCCTTTTCCAATAATCCACAAGAAGCTGCATCCTGCCAACAACCCCATGAGCTTAGAAGTGGATCCTTGCCCAGTGAAGCCTCAAATGAGACCCTAGTCCTGGCTAACACCTTAATTGCAGTCTTGTGAGAGATTCTGAAGTAGAGGACCCAGCTAGACCATGCTCAAATTCTTGACCCACAGAAACTCAGATTACAAGTGGGTGTGGTTTTAAATCACTAATTTTATGCTGATGTTGTTAGCAATAGATACCTAATACATGTAGGATACAGAACTGTAGCTTATTTGCAAAACATTGCCCATCTACAGAGCAAAGAGACCTGCTATCACTTTCCCATTGGGATTTTGGAATTGCTATGAGCAAGTAAATGTTATGATGCCTTCCATTCTCATGCTTTCCAAATGGAAGTGCTTTTGTAATTACCCTGTCCTTGTTTTACTGACTTATGTTAGATACATGGGAGGGGGGTAACTAATTTGACCATTTTGGGGGCGGGTACCAGGGATTGAATTCAGGGGCACTCAACCACAGAGCCGCATCCCCAGTCCTATTTTGTATTTTATTTAGAGACAGGGTCTCACTGAGTTGCTTAGTACCTTGGCTTTGCTGAGGCTGGTTTTGAACTCAAGATCCTCTTGCTTCAGTCTCCGGATCCTCTGGGATTATAGTCGTGTGCCACCGTGCCTGGCCTAATTTGAATTTTAATTCATGTATCTTTTGTGTGTGTGTGTGTGTTTATAAATATATATTTTAGTTGTAGTTGGACACAATACCTTCATTTTATTTTATTTATTTTTTTAACTTGGTGCTAAGGATTGAATTTGGTGCCTCGCATGTGCTTGCAAGTGCTCTACCGCTGAGCCACAACCCCAGCCCCTAATTTGTGTATCTTTGGATTATGAGTAGCCACCTCCAGACGTTACAGGAGGAATTATGAGATCTTGAATTTTGAGTCATGTTTGAGATTTTTGGAGGCTGCTGGGATGAGAATGCTCACATATCATATGTAGGAATGATGTGAAGAATGGTCATGAGGACAAACACTTGGCAAAAATGGCCCCAAATGCTTCATACCTGGGTTAGCCAGTTTTCCACTACAGTAGCAAAACACCTGAAACAAGATTGGGGGTGTAGAACACTTACCTAGCATGTGTGAGGCCCTTATTAAATCACTAGTTCCACAAAGAAGCCAACAGACAAACAAACTCTGAGATAAACAACTTAAAAAGAGGAAAACTTTTATTTTGGCTTACAGTTTAAGTGGTTTCAATTGGTGGTTGGCTGGCCTCGTTGCTTTTGAGTCTGCGGTGAGGCAGTATTTCATTAGCTGAAGCCTGTATGGAGGAAACTCCTCACCTCATGGTGGCTAGGAAGCAAAGAGACCAGAAGGGACCAGGGTTCCAATACCCCCTTCAAGGGTATAGCCCTGATGATCTAATTTCCTTCCACTAGGGCCCGCCTCCTAAGGATTCCACCACCTTCCAATAGCACCATGGGCTAAAGATCAAGGTTTTAATCATGGGCCTTTAGGGGACATTCCATATCCAGACTATAGCCACACCTAACTTATCCACAGACTTTATGTGGATAAGGTCATGCCCTTCCACTACAACTCTAAGATTGGCGGTGCTATTTGGTTTAGTTAATGGGGTGTTAGCAAACACGCAAGATGAGGCTTGAAAACAACTTGTGTTGTTGATCTTGCTTTCTTGCAGGAGCACCATTTCTATGATAACATGACAAGGAAGGATGACAAACGTGGAGTAGAACCTGGTCATTCCAGCTGTTTCTTCCAGCCAACAGTTAGCTGAATTCCACATAAACAATAAACATTTTATCTCTGTAGGCCTCTGAGAGTTTGTTGTTGAATGTTAGCATTATAACAATAGACAACTGACAATACCTAAACTCATACATATTATACAAAATAAAACTAGATCAATCTCTTATTAATATCAAAATTAATAATTTTATCAAATTATTGATTAGTATAAACTATGTTTATAAATGATATATTTGTCAAATAGTATCAAATTAATATCAGTGAAAAAAATCTCAAATAAAAATATCAACAAACCATTAGGGCATTAAAGATAATGTTTCATGACAAATGTAATTTATTACCAAATGGTTTTGTATCATAAAAATCAATGAATGCAATTCTTTATTTCAATAGGTCTAAGAAGAAAAGCAATTTGATTGTAGCTGCCAAAAAGGTCTTTGACAGAACTTAATGCTCATTCCTGATTTTTAAAAACTAATAAAAGTCAGCATGTATTTAAGGAGGAAATGCTAGAGTCATTCCTGCTAGAATCAGGAACAAGCTACTCCACTAGTACTTAATATTTTGAATGTAACAACCATTGCATGCAGACAAAACCAAGGCATAAAAATTGAAAAGGAAGA